GTAAGAGAGATTGAGAGATGAATAAAACTGCAATGCAGTCTTTGTTAGGAGAGCCTACTGGCTAAAATGGGTTAAAGGACTGATAAATCCTGAGTTACAGGTTCAAGGGCATCAGTAGGGCTTGCTGACATTCCTGTCTGTCCCTTCTTGATATGTAGAGAGCTGTAGGTTAGGTCTCCAACATCTGGGTTCCATTTGGGCTTCTCAGCTCAGAGGTTGAAAAATCCAAGGGAGTTGCTGTAGAGACCTCAAGAATTGATGCTCCACTCTTTCTTGTCTCATGAATAAAGACAAGAGGAGAAAAGGAACCAGACTTCCCATTCAGCAGTATGATACCCGTGCTGTAATACTCAGAGATGCTAAAATTTTTGGAAGAAACCAATGTCAACCCTTTTTAAATAACCTGTACTCATATGATGATACACAAGTGGATAACGCTTCTCTGCTTGTGAATAATTCTTTCATAACTACCCAGGCATATTGGTTTTCTGTGGCAGCTACAACAAATGACCACAAATCTGGTAAACCAGAAGAAATATATTCTCTCATAGTTCTACAATCATAACCCAAAATCAGTTTGACTGAGCTAAGATCAAGGCGTCAATGAGGCCACACCTCCTCCAGAGGCCTGAGGGAAGAATGGATATTTTGCCTCTTCCAGCTTCTGGAGGCTGTCAGCATTCCTGTATTGTGGCCAGCTCCCACCCATCTCCAGAGATTTGGGTTCTTCCTCTATATGTATGCAACTTCCCTCTGCCTCCCTCTTAAAAGAACACTTGTGATAACATTTAGGACCCATCCCGTTAATCTTCTCATCTCTTGGTCCTTCACTTACTCACATCTACAAAGCCCCTTTTTTTCAAATAAAGTAGTATTTCCCTGTTATAGGATTAGGACCTGGTATCTCGGTGGGGGGTGGTCATTACCAATCTCCTACATCAGGTAAGGCAAGGTACAATCACCCCCATTTAGTAGAGGAGGAAGCTAAATGAAGTGAAACACAGGATGGTATTTCACCATGTGTTTAGCAATTGCCAAAATAACAAAATTCTTCACAACTAGTGGATCAGTAATGTTGTATAGCTGGGGAGTGGTGCCATGCAGACCTGGGAGCAGGGGTGGCCACAGCAAAGCCAGTGACACTGCTGGTGACGTTGTCAGTGGGGCTGACGCAGACTCACCTGGGCAAGCCACGGTGGGAGGTGCTGGTAGCAAGGGATGGATGCAGAGGAGATGTACTCAGCTAGATGCAGCAGAGCACTGGGCCCTAGATCTTACGGATGGTGATTTCATGCAGAAAGCATTTCAAGAGTATGATAAATTTCCCTGAGGAAATTTCCCTGAGGTCAAATCATGGGGCATCATTTAGCTAGTGATGACCACACAAACACAAGGTCCCACCAGCAATTTCTAGAGACTAAAAAGTTACTGGGACATTACTGGCATAATTTAAGGGCTGATTTGTGTGATAACCTATGTCATCTGGAAGGCAGTTTTATGATCGATTCTATAGAATTCACTTTACTGGGATCCCTGGGTATCTCAGCGGTTTAGCACCTGCCTTCGGCCCAAGGCCTGATCCTGGAGACCTGGGATCGAGTCCCACATCGGGCTCCTTGCATGGAGCCTGCTTCTCCCTCTGCCTGTGTCTCTGCCTCTCAATCTGTGTGACTATCATGGATAAATAAATAAAATCTTTTTAAAAAAAAAGAACTCACTTTACTTAGAGAATAACACATTTAAAATTTAGGCTCATAGACTAATTTCAATGACTGGACCAGTTGTGAAATGCTTTTGTTTTGTTTTGTTTTTACATGTAGTATCACCTCTAACCCTCTTGGTCAGGGGTACATGGACTCTAGACTCACGAGCAGGGAGAGGAAACAGTCGCTGAATGTGCTTCTTCAGATGTATTTGATGGTTTCCCTGCTTCTGGTGGCTGCATCCAGGTGGTTGGATGTTCTCTTTGAGGTCTTTTAGTTCCTTGTCTGTTCCCGTCATTCTGGAATCCACTGAACTGTGAAGTCCTGTCTCTACTTCTCCAGAGAAGCGGAGCAAAGGTAAGTGTTCCTGTTGACTACTGTGAACCGAGGAGGAGTAGTACATCAGGGAGGCAGTCCAGGAGTCCCAGCTCTAGGGACTACCGACCAGGAGATGGCACAGCTTGGCCAAACCTCGCTTCATGATGATGGTCAAGTTAACTAACCCCTGTAAACCTCAGTTCCTCCTTTTGCACAATGGTAGTAAGAAGTTGACCTCAAAGACTTGTTGCCTTGATAAAGTGACAAAGCACATGTAAAATGCACCAAAACATTCTCAGTGGTTATTTCTGAGTTGTACAGGTTTGAATGTTGCCTTTGGGCTTTTCTGTATTCTTTAATTTATGTACAATGAGCATACTGTTATTATTATTATTTTTTAATAAAGCTGTTTCAAGAAAGAACAAAAAGCAAGGAAGGAAGCATCATGTAGGGTGCAAACCTTGCTCATTACAGCCCCTGGATCAAGCTACAGTCAACTCAGGAGATGGCTCTGGCCCACTGACCCTTTCTTCTAAAGAAGAGCAGCTGTTCCCAGGCCCAGCTCTTACAGAGATAGGCTCATCTCATGCCCCAACACTAGAAGACAGGGATTCTTGATACTCCCTTCTTATAAGAAGGGATCTGTCAAGGCTACATAGGCAGGATTTGAACCCAGCCTTGGGTTTTAGGGCCTGCACTCTGAACAACTACCTTCTCCTGGGTGCCAGTCAGCTCTGGGAATGCCCCGGGAATGGTCTCACCTTGTCCCTCTGCTGCCACCTTCAGGAACGGCACAGGGACCTCACTCTGGCTGATTTCCTCTGGCTGTAATCTACTAACGATGTGAGCCAATCAGAGCCCTCCTGGGCTGCCAACTGAAGAGGCTATGACTTGGACTTAGATGGACTTGGACTTGGATGCAGGCAGGAGGGTCCTCCCTGAAGGTGGAAAAAGTGTGGGTTTGGCTGAGATGGGATCTCCTGAGGGAAGTTCCCCCAGAAGATCTCATGCCCTGAGGGCTGCCCTGGCTCCTCCGGGTGCAGCCAGGGGACGGTGAGGGCCCAAAAGGGGCAGGACGCATCCAGGACTGCAAGTTGGGGACTGGTTTCCACTCCTGGCTTTGTCACTAATCAGTCATATGGCCTGAGGAATGCCATCCTTCCTCTCAGGCTCTGTGAAACAGGAAGGCTTCTAGGCCCCACTCACATTCTCTCAGTGTCTCAGCTTCTCAAATAAAGAGCTTGGTGTTAAAATTGGCATCTAGGAGCATTAAAAATAAATTCCCATTTTCTGTGGCAAAGGCTTGAGTTCTATCCTGTCACTCCACAGGCCTCCTAAGTCTGGTATTTTTATTTCTCTCAAAATAACCTTTTCAAAAGGTACCTGCAAACTACCACACTGGCCTTTCTGGGGAGAGGACACTTTCATGTTCTGCAGGGAGTCGCCATTAGCACACATTACAGCAGAGTTTAGACAGGCCCCTGGGAAGACCTAATGCCATAGGAAAGCCACAGAGCAAGTGTCTCATCAAGGGATATCCTGAGACTCCAAGACTCACAGAGACCCTTGGCCAGGGGAGGGTCTGTGACTCACCAGGAAACTCTACATAACTTTTTGATTATCACTCATGTGAATCACAAGGAGACTTCCATGGGTTCACCTCAATACTTTGGCCAGGAACCAAGAAGAGAAAAAAACCTGACTTTTAAAAGCACATAATTTGTGTAAAATAATTCAGATCTAAATCTGTCTGGGCTGGAGCTGCTACAACAAATCTCCACACGCTTGGTCAAGGCTTAAGATGACAGAACTTCATTCTCTTTATATTTCAGACATGCTCTGTGATTTGCCCCAGTAGAGGGATGGCAACAAATTCTTTCAAGGTTGAGGGGACCTGAAAGGGGTGGAATCTCAGAGGCAGATATACCTTTGTGGGAAATGGAAGCAGAATCAGGATTCTTCAAAGGAAAGGAACTTGGGGGATCATCCAATCCAGGAAGAGTAAAAAGTTTCCATTTCTGGTGTCAGTGCCAAGTGATGGATTGGTAAGCAGTTTCTTGGGATGCTTATGTTTCTGAGACCAGCTGGAAGGGGTGCCCGTATCAGTTTTCCAAAGCCATTGTAACAAATTAGCACAAATATGGTGTCTTCATATTGTACTATCTCACAGTTCTGGAGGCTGGAGGCCTGAACTCAAGGTGCTGGCAGGGCCACTCTCCCTCTGAGTGCTCTAAGGGAGACTCCTTCTTGGCATCTTCCAGCTCTGGGTGGTGCCTGGTTCTCCTTAGTTATGACAGCATCCTTCCAACCTCTGCCTCTGTCTTTACATGACTTCTTCTTTTTGTGTCCCTCTGCATGTAAATCTCCCTCTCCTTTCTCTTATAAAGATACCAGTCATTGGATTTAGGGCTCCACTTAAATCTAGGATGATGTCATTTCAAGATCCTTAACTAATTAAGTCTATAAAGACCCTAATTCCGAGTAAGGTCACACTCTGAGGTTCTGGGTAGTCCAGAATTTTGGTGGGACACTCAAATCAACCCAGCACAAATGCTGTGATGGTTCAGCAAGCCTGACCTGGGTGGTACTCCTGCTTTCCATCTGCCATCTCCATCTAGCCCAAGTCTGTAGCTTTACAGATGATGGAATTGAGGCCCAGAGGATAAAAAGCTCTTGACCACTGTCATGTGACTAGAAAATGCCACAGGAGATAAAAATGAAGAAAGAAGATGATGTAGAGGTGGGATGGCTTGGGATAAAATTACTATTTTAATTGTAGGATAACTGAGAAGGGCGTCTTTGCATTTGGCCATTGTCCAAAGAGGGTCTAGACGGGGCAAAAAATGATCACCAGCCAATTAGAGAGAAAATTTGGCAGCCTTGGAAGAATCAGTCCCATTCTGAGGATCGGTTTGCCGGAGACTGTTTGCCTTTTTTTGGCCAAAGGAATGAGAGCTCCTCTCAGTGGGCAAAAGCCTTTCCAGACTGGTCCCTGAAAGCATCGTGCGTACAGATGCCTGCTGGTTGCCATGGTGAATGATGCTGATCTGAAGAAATGAATAATGTGAGCGTTGGGGGCGACAGTGGGATTACTCAGACAGTGGCGAGAGAGGCATCAAGGAGAGCCCAGAGCAGAGGAGGCGAGAAGGCTCCATTCCTTCAGCTTTGGTCCACTCTGTCTCTGCCTCTGCAGACTGCGTTCTAACCAGACCCACCGCGAGCATCAGGTAAGGGACATACATGGCTCTTCTTGGAAATGGAAATGGTTTTTCCTTTCACACTCTTCTTGGAGGAGGGCCAGGCAATGGTAATATGAATAGCTAAAAATAGGGGGAATTTAGAAACAGAAGCAGAGAAAGAAAAGCAAATAAGGAAGCTTGATCTGGTCCCAAAAGCTGAGGATGCTGCTACAGTGTCTTGCCAGAAAGCTCTTAAAAATGTCTGCTGTAGAGAACTCAGTCTGCAGAGCCAGTCAGCAGCAGATGCATAGCAAACAGAACAAAAAATTCATGACAATAAAACGGGATTCCTGATCACCCCTGATGGAAGGGTTGTACAAAGGCCATTGCCTCTTATTATAAGTAATGAATTAAACTCTTTTCATTGTGGTCAGAAGCGTTTACAAGGATGTGTGGGGTGGTGTGGGTGGGGGAGGTCATGAGAAAGGACAATGACGAAGGGAACGTAAAGGTCTCCTTTGCAATGACCTTCCCGGGAGGGATCTGAGCACACCTGTCTTGTCTCTTTTATTATTCACTATGTTTCTGGGAAGAAATTTCCAACCAAACAGAAGGGAACTATTCCCCTTCCTGAACATGTCAGTTCACTGTCATCCTTAGAGAAGAAAAACCAGGATTGAAAAATCGCTCAGTGCATCTCTCTGCAACCCACCTCCTCTAGGAACACAGGCATGAAAATAGAAGGTCAGAGGGAAGCAGGAAGGGGAGAGAGCAGCTTGTGATAGAAATCAGTTTGGCTTCACATCCAATTCAGGTTCAGATCTGGTTGATGGGTTTTTACTGGGTCATTAAAATCTAAAACGAAGGCTTCTGTATTTCACATGAGACAGGAAGGGCAGGGAACAGGGCTGGGTGAGACCCGTATGTGAACATACACAGGTTGAATGAATATGGCTGTCCCTGAATTTTAAATCAGGGGAAATTCACTGGAGAGGAAGTTCTCTGTCTCTCAAAGAGATAGCATTTAAGAGAAACTAAAAAGCTTGAAGATGGTGCTCTCTTATCAAAGCAGGAGGGCTGGTAGTCTAAAGAGGGCTAATTTGATTTGTGGAAAAACAGCAACTAGGTCTTAGTACCAGCACCTCATTTTGCAATAATGTTCTGTAACTAAACCCAGAAGCCTTGCATTTGGAAATCTAGCAGTTAAGTGGCTTTGAGTCTACTTACTAGCCAAGTGACCTCAGATTGCTCATCTGTAAAATGGGGATCTAGCTCAGAGGGTGTGAAGATTAAAGGGAATGTATTACAGTATGTGAGCATCTAGCATGACACATACGAGATGTGACACAGCCACCACTCACTAACTGCTGTTGATTAGTATCATTATTAACACTCATAGTACCAGAGACATTAAATAGTAGCAGTTATGCCGGCATTAGGAGCTGACTGTCTTTACCTATACAACTGATTTTCTGGGTACCTTTGGCTTTGAACAAACAAACAGAGAAACAAAACATGAGCAGAGGCTTTGGGGAGAAATCAGCTGCCAAGAAGTGATGACGCGAATCTCCTCTTTCATGGGCAACAGAACCGGGAGGCTAAAAAGCAGTGGGCAGAATGTTCTAGATGGCTGAGCACTTGGAGCAGAAGCAGAAGGTCCAGAAGGGATACTGTAGGGGATATAATTGTCTGACTTGGAGGGAACAGAGCTGTGGTGACTAATATGGGCATGTGGTCTGATTTCTTTTACTGCCTTTCTTCGTTTTTTAAAGGGTTGGAAACAATGTTGTACCTAAAGGATCTGAGCTAGGGCAGGATGAACCTGGGGGATATGGGCGCACCTTTCTCAGGCCTGAAGGCCACAGGCTTTGATATGAGACAGCCCCGATTTGAACTTTTGTTCTGCTATTTCTTAGCTACGCCTTTGCTGAGTAATGTAACCTCTTGACCTCCACTTCTTTGTAAAACAGGGGCAATGTCAGTCCCCATCTGGAATGTTCACTAAATCGTGGTTATGAATATTGCAACTAAATACTTAAACAAGGGGATGTCATTTTTCACTTTGATTCTGGTTCTAGAATCAGGATGAACATCGAGGTTGGGAACGTTTCTTATACAGGAGCCATCATTTCCTGGTCATCCTCAGAGCCCTGCTTGGAGGACTATTACCATATTATGTACAGGCCCAACTGGAACAGCATCTTCTCCGGCTATCTTCGCTACAGCTTCCATCACGAGGAGAAAGTGCCTCGAACAATCAGCTCTGTGGTGCTGGAACACCTCGCCCCTTCTACGCTCTACTTCCTGTGTATCAGCTGCAAGAAGGCTGCCTTCCCCTATAGGCACTACTGCACCATGTTCCATACCCTGGATAAGAGCCCACTGGCTGCTGGAAGTTCCCTTGTAGACCCCCAAATCTCCCTGTGGGTGTTGATGGCCATTCTGCTGGCTTGCTTCACAGCCGTCTTAGCTTTCATTTGCCTCCAGTTCTGGTGCATCCGTTGTCATGAGCCTCGATGGTCCTACAGAGCCGGCCACATGGAGGAAGCCAATGGGTTGGTGCGATGGCCAGAGGAGGCCCCGGCTCTTGGTCAGAGAGAGGAAGACCTGCAGGGGCTCCCCCTGGTGGAAATGCCACGCAAGAACTCCGGAGCTGAAGCCGAACCAGAAGCTGAAGGTGAAGCCGACCAGGATGATGCAGCTGACGAGGACGCGGCCAATCAGGATGTCCCTGATGTGGGTGCCTTACTGAGGGGCGGTGGTGATCATCCTGCCATACTGCCTCATTTTAGGGAGTGAGAGGTAGTATGGAGGAGGCAACCTATACTGTGTAGCTTAAAGCCCTCCATATAGTAGATCTTTGGTAAAAATGTGTCTCTAGACTACTCATTGGCTTCCCCTCAACTGTCTGTGCTCTTGTGGATCACACTGGTTGGATGAATGTCCTGTGACAAAGCTTCTCAAGCTAAAAAGCATATACCCCCAGGGTATGCCAAAGGAGAAACATGGCATCTCTTAGGAGTGTCCATTTAGGGGAGCCCAGTTAGGAACTAAAAACATTACTTTAACGTTAAGACAAACATGAATATATTATGGCAAAGAAAGCAAAATTTGCATGGCTTAATAAAATACAATACTTGGAGGAAACTTTTGAGTTGAAGATGGGCTCTGCAGGTTATGCTTCCAATCAGCTGAGGCAGATGTCTAGTCTCCTCTGCTCTTGGGGAAGGGGGTTATTTTGGAAACGTTGAGAAGCCTTGCTCTAGAGTGTTTTCCAGCTTTCAGGCAACCACATACCACCTCATACCCCACCTCCATTTTGTTTAAACCATAGACTATCTTTACTATTATTAACAATATTTTTCTTTAAATGGACTCATTTTTAAAACTTAAACTTACTTTAAAAGATAGGCTTATATGACTCCATAAATTAAAACCAGCACCTTCCTGCTCTAAGTATTAGCGACATAGGAATAAATATAATAAAAACAAAATCATATTAAGTTTGACTTAGATCCTATTGCTTACTAAAAACTCTGAACTTAAGGTCTGCTCTCTTAGCTTTGACAAAAAGGAAAATGGGAAAGCAGAAGGTATTGAAGGCATATTAGCATCAATGTAAAAATGTGTCTTTCTCCAATTATAATTACAAGGCTTGAAAGAGATTTGAAAGGGAGGTGTTGTTCTTACTTTGTGAGTCAGTGTTTTTCAGTGACACATCTGTGAATTATTCAAAATGCTGGCTCTGAGTGTCCTGTGATTTGAGAAAGTTGCCTTGAGCAGACTGGTTGTCCTACCAGAGGACACCTGCACTGTCCCAGCATCAACCTAAGACCTTCTAAGCCCAGCATTAGGCCCAAGTGATGGGAGCTCACTGATTCACACTTCCCAATCTTGGGCTCCTCAACCTTTTCTCATATGTATTCAGTCAGTTCTTCTTCAAAGTGTATCTGTGCTTACTTTTTGAAAATCGGGTCAAAGGTGGCCATTTCTAGTCCATCACAAAGAAAAATGTTGGTTTTGTTATTGTTGGCAAGTTTTACTCTTGCAGTGGCATTCTTCCCTTTCAAACCTACAGGGTAAGAAAGGCATCTCCTATATACATCACATGTTGGTGAGACTTTGTGAACACTGCCCCCGTCCCCACCATGGGTGTAGAAATTTGTGGAGGGTAATGATGTCTGCTTTAATCTCTGATATATCCCTAGCATGCAGAATCTAGCCCAATGTCTGGCCTACTGTGGGCACTTAATAAATGTCTGTTTAATGAATGACAAAGGACTGAAAGTCTAGAACAGGGCTCCCTCTGGGAGGCCTGGTTAGTGTCAGGATGTGTATTATGAACAAAGCAGCAAAGTGATGGGAGATGACCTGCTTCTTGACTCTAGCTCCAAAAATCTGGGATTTCTTTCAAAACTCCACCTTCCCAATTGCTTCCTGTCTGCAAATTCCTCACCTTTCTGGAACCCAAATCCCAGAATCACAGGACCATATTGCAGTGAATCAACTGAGCAACAGGAGACAGGATGAAGACGAGAAGCCCCACATACCTACTTTTCCGCTCACCTCAGTGAAGTTGCCCCCAAATAATTCCCACCCAGGAACCACTCCCCTACCAGGTCTGCACTCACCCTCACCCTTGCTAGTTGTGCACAAATAAAGATGAATATACTCGCAGTTGTTTCTGCCTGGATCTCTCTGCTGCCTCTCTAATCTCCATACCATTTTACTTTTCTGATTTGGGGAACACTTTTCCTATTTGCTTTTGTTGACAAGTTCTCTTAGGAATAGGACGCAGGCAAGACTACTCACCTTGGATCCATAGAGGTAATAAGGCTGAACGTTGGCGGGTTTATCTCTTTGCGGTTCTTGGGTGAAAGGAATGGCAGTTCGAACAAAACTAGTAGAGGAATAGAGAGGGGGCAGGAATTAACCAGGTCCTAGGGCATTCTTCAAGGGACGCAGCCTAGCCAGAGCCCTTCCTGACCAGGTACAAGCAAACTGTTTCTAGGTGGTTGTCTATAAAGATACTAAACTCTTATCATACACTCCCATTCATTTACCTACTGTCTCCCTTCCCTAATGGGAAAACTGTAGTCCAGATTCTCAAGCTAGACTCTGGGCTATGGCTGCTCACGAGAATAGCAGGCAACCAAGTGACAATTGGCTGGGCCTGAAAATGGCCTTCTTTGGGGCTCCAGATCCTTCCCTCCACCCCCAGTGTGGCTTCTTACAAGCAGGGTTCCACAAGCTCTTTCTATAAAGGCCCAGATAGGAAGTATTCCCAGCTTTGCAAGCCAGATGGTCTCTGTCACCATTACTCAGCTCTGCTGATAGTGTGAAAGCACCCATAAACAATTGTAGATGAATGAGCATGGCTGGGTTCCAATAAAACTTTACGAATTTCAAATGATTTTCACTTGTCATCAAACTATAATTCTTCTCTGGATTTTTTCCCCCAACTATTCAAAACTGTCAATAGCATTCTTTGTGCATGGGTTATATAGAAACAGTTGGCAACAAGATGTGGCTTGTGGGCGATAGCTTGCAGACCTCTGCTCAAGAGGATTAAAAGTCCCAAATCTTTACAGAACCAGAAGCCTGTCTTGCTAAGTGTATGGATTCATGTTCATCTGTGTTTCCTCCCAGACCTTTCAATTCATTCAACACATACTTATTTAATACTGGCTGTAAGCCAGGCTCTGAGGGTACAGAGAGGACCTGTAAACACATACATGTTTGTATAACCTAACAGACTTGTTTTGTGCATGAATACATCTCCCCTCTTCTGTCAGGTTTTGAACCTTTGTGATGATAAGGGATAAGGTCTTCTCCTCACCTTGGTGCTCGATACAGCACTGTGTACACCTTGCAGGAGACATATGCCACTTCATCACACATACATGTGCCTATTCTGCCTGAATGTATTCGTGTATATGGATGTCCTCATAAAAGCACCATCTGAGGGACACCTGGGTGGCTCAGTGGTTGAGCATCTGCCTTCAGCTCTGGGCACGATCCTGGGGTCTGGGGATTGAGTCCCATATCGGGCTCCCTGCAAGGTGCCTGCTTCTCCCTCTGCCTGTGTCTCTGCCTCCTCTGTGTGTGTCTCTCATGAATAAATAAATAAATTTTTTTTTTAAAAGTACCATCTGATCATAAAGCACCATGCTTAATCCTATCCTGGCCTGTGGAGTAGTGCACAGCGCGGCTCCTGCTTCCTCCCAGGTCCTATATTATCTTTCATGGCACCATTCCCCATCCCATCTGTTACACCCTCACTGAGCTCTCCACTCCTTGGAGATTTTGCCTGGGATATTCTTCTCCCGTCTCTTCACTTTTTTTATTCCTACTCATCCTTCACATCTCTACTCAAGCATGACTTCTCAGAGGAGGAAGCCTCTCTTGAGGTTCCCGTCACTTCCCAGGCTGGATCAGGTGGTGGTGTTTTCTCGCTCATGACTGGGGTTTTCCTCCATCTCCAAATTCACTCTTTCTAACAGTACATTTATCAGGGGACTGTCGGATTGCCTGCATTGTCCTCTAGCCTGAAGGCTGGAAGAGGCAGACTTGCTCACCGTGGCAGCCCCGGCTCTGCACAGAGCCTCCAGCCAGGAGGGACTGACTCCACGAGATGCCTACTGTGGGAAGGACCCGCTTCCCCGGCCCGCAGCCCATGCCCGCGCCCTTCACCCAGGGACTCCCTTACCGGTTGGTGGACCCATTGTAGCAGTAGTTGGGGAGGAAGTCGAAGTTCAGCTCCCAGAAGACGTGGAGGGTGATGCGGCCGTAGGGGGCAGACACATTGTGATTGGCCTCCCGGAACATGGCGTCGAAGCTGTCCAGGGTCATGTGCTTACACAGCAGCCGGTGCGTGAGCCGGTTGATCTCCAGCAGCCACTCCAGCTCCTGCCAGAGAGAGCCCACGGCCGCTGAGGACGTATACGCACACTTCACACGCACACTTTAATCTGACGGCCCCCCTTCGTGCGGGGGAGAGGCCCTCACACAACCTCCCGCCTGACGTGGAGACGGGGCACGCGACCACGCGCCCTTCTTCAGAGGACGAGTTCCCAGCCTGGGCCGAGGGAAGCTGCACAGGCCGGCTCTGGGAAGGCTCCACAGACCGGGGGCAAACCCGGTCTGTACCCCCTTGGGTGGAAAGCATGCCTGCTTGCTTTCCAGTCTCCGTATTGGGGAGGAAGAAGCCTGCGTCTCAGCGCTACAGGTAAACAAAAGGAAGGTGTGCCAGCCTACCACCAGAGGCTGGATCTCTACCGATCAGAAGTAAGGGTTACCGTTTGCTAAGTACTTCCTGTTAGCTCAGACCACATGAAACTACTGGTTTTCTAGCTTAAATACCATCAGATATTAGTAGTTTCATGTGATTCAGTGTATTATACACCAAACAGTATCCTAAGCACTTTATGTGTCTTAACTCATTTAATGTTCAAAAACCCCTATAAGGTCACTGTTACAGTTGTCCTTACTTTATGCCTGGAGAAACTGAGGTTTTGAGAAGTTCAATCACTTGACTCCAAATTCAGGAAGTTGGGCTCTGATGTCCATATTCTTAACCACTATACACTGTAGAAATTTTACAAATAGCCGGGGACAGAATGCCCCCTCCTTTGGATTCCTCCTGTGTCTCCCACTCAAGGGCTGGGCACATGTTGGCAAAGGTGCAGTTGAAAGCCATGGACCAAGGACTCACGTGAGGGTGGGCCCTGACTGCTTGAAACCCTACCTTTGGGCAGAGAATGGGAGCAAAGTGGCCAATACGCAGACACAACAGGTCACTGCATTTGCTGGCAAGTAAAAGGAAACTGAAACCCTTTGGGCTGGCTCTCGTCCTTAGTGCTGCTATGAAAAAGGATCAAAGCACAGTCTTGTGCAGAGAGAGAGGGCATGCCTCTTCGTAATGCTCTAGGACGCTCCCATATTATTGTGGTTAAGCCTTCTTTTGAGATGGGTATGATAGCCCCTGTCTTATAGAGGGGACAAATGAGGCTCAGAGGGTGAAGTGATTTGCCCAAGGTCACACAGGGAATACAGAACTTGGTTTAGTGTGTGATCCTGGGCCCCTAGGACATGGTTTCCTGGAATAAAGGAGCAATTTGCTAAGAAATCACTTTGAAAAGTAATGATAGTTTGACAATATAAAGACTCAAGGAACACTGGCAAGGGCAGGTCACCAGAGGGTGGCCAGGAGGCAGGACAGCTTTAGGGGCTAGGATTTGGAGCTCAGGTTGGTCACAGGATGCAGCCTCACACCACTGAATCGATCTTATTCTCATCAGCCACAAGGTGTCCTAAGGCTGGCTGGGGTCCAGAGTGTGGCCAGGTGGAGGCCCCAGACCATGCTTCCAATTTTGGAGCTCTGTCTTTCTGCAACTGAGATTCTATGGCTCTAAATTGGGGGTGTGGAATTGGATCGGAGCTTGCAAACTTAAATGGCTGTATAGGCCAGCCCAGCTCAGGGAAGAGGGACAGGCAGGAGCAGGAGGAATTCCTGAGGCTGGGCTGCCTGTGGCAAAATGTCTGTCTGGACAGGGTAGTCTGCTACTCAACTCCATATAGTTGTGCTGCCTTCTCAAAATGGGCTCAGTGATGATAGACCTCATCATCTTTCAAAAGAAGGTCAAAATCTGGATTTTTAATTCTGGAATGACAGCTGGAAGAATCAGTTTCCAGTCACTGTGCACCATGAAGTTAATGAAGGGCAGAAACACAGAATCACCTCTCTGGTTCTGTCTCTTAGGGCCTAGCCAGCTGGACTATTAATTTCGTTCCCATTCATTTATGATGGGTAAAATAAAATAAATACATAAATCAAATAAATGGAGTAAGCACCAATGATTTTATTTCTAAGCTCATCAAGTGCCTCAGCACACTGAGGTGCCATGTTACCAGGAAGATAATTGCAAATGAAAAACTTGGGGATAATTTCTGTTCTAATGTTGCGATTTTAACAGTCTCACGAATGTGTGGCGGTGTTTACAAGGGAGACCAAAAGAGAAAGTTCTCAGCGCTGCTGATGTGGGGCTGCTGGAAATGTAGGCCCACCTCTTCTGCCATGCAAAAGTAGCAAGGTTTTTGTTATGTAACCCAAGCCCTGTTTTGGCATCAGCCATGTTCTCCTGGCCTTTAAATCATAGAGGGCACTTGGCTCTAGGATGCAGAGCTCAGTGCAGCAGGCTTGGTGGTTTAAAAGGCCACGTGAGTGGTGCAGGTATCTCTGAGAGGGTCTCGGTTTTCTATAGTAAAGCTGGTTTACGGAGGGCAACGTGGAGAAGCAGAGCTGGGGAAATAAAACACCTAATGGGGCAAATGGAGAGGAAAGAGCTCTTGAATGGGAACCAGAAAACCTGAGTGTCGGCCACCCTGGACTGCTGACTAGCTCTGTGGTCCCAGGTAGGCAGGAAGAATGGGGGTCTCAAAGTCGGGTGCAGTGAAGTGTGGAAGGCCATACAGAGGAATTAAGTACCCCAGTGAGGCTGGCAACAAGCTGAAGAGAGCAGAGCCGGCTGATGGGATAGTCTAATCATTTCTAGACAATTGTTGCCATCTGGAAAGGTTGGTGTGATGTTGCCAAAGCTTCTGCAGTTTTATTCAAATTCTTCCAAATGTTAAATGTTGGCTCAAAATTTCAAATGTGCTCTGCAGCCTAAACAAAACACAGCCTGCAAGCTGCCAGCCCTCAAATTCAGCATAGGATCTCTCCGAGAGTCTATTTGCTCAACTGTGTAGGATGAGGATGGCTGACTTAAGAAATCTCTGCCACCCGCCCAGCTTGGCATTGAGCCGCCTTCTCATCTCAGAACAGAGCTTCTAAGGTGGAGGGAAGGGCTGAATGGAGCAGATTCCTCAGGCTGTTTCTCACAAGAGGCAGAAGCTTTTCAGCCAAGGCCAGTAGGGGCCTCCTCACCCCACAGGTGGGAGCATCCCTGGGGTCTCCTCTTCACGGGCTTTACAGGGAGTTGCCACTCTCCTGGGGGCTGCTGGCCTCACCTGATAAACACCAGCTTTCACTGCTTGTTTTGACTTTGTTCTCAGCTAAAAGAACATTCAGTGCCTTTGAAGGGATGGGAAGAGGCCATGGACACCCACACACACCCCAAACCAGTTTTTCCATGAGATATGTTCATTCATTACTGGATAACCAGAAGATACAGATAAACAACAAAGATGAAAACAGAAAAATCCCACCACTTGGAGACAATCACTGCTAACATTCTGGCATAAATGTTATTTATTTCTTTTCCTTTCCTTACCATTTATTTCCCTCTTTCTTTTTTTCTTTTCTTTTCTTTATTCTTTTTTTAAGAAAAGTCTATTTCTTAAAATAGATCTCCCAGAAGAACACGTGCTATATTATAGTTTCCTAAAGTAACTGACCCAGGACTTAGGTGGGCAGTTGGGGGCAAGTCTCCAAAGGAAATGCTGCTAAAAATTCACCCTGAGAATGTCTCATTGTAGCTCCAAATTTCTATGCTTCTCTCATTCTCTTTTCTTTTTTTTCCCTCATCTTTTTATTAAGTACAAGGAACTATGCAAAGCTCTTCCTAGGCAGTAAAGAATCATCCTTAAAAAATGCTATCCTGTAAATTCTAATATTCCTCCATCATGTAGATGGGGAAACGGGCTTATAAACATTAAGCAACTTGCCAATATTGCCAGCTAGTAAGTAGCAGGGCCAGGACTGGGACCCCAGGTCTTTCTGACTCTAGAGTCCTTGTCCCTGTCACTTTTTAAAACCATTCTGTCCATTTAAAAAAAACAAAGCATTTTTATTTTGAAATAATTACTTTTCTGTAAGTGAAAAAGCAGAATTCCTGCATATCCTTGACCCAATTTCCCTAATGTTAACATCTTATATAACCATAACATAATCATTAAATGCAGGAAATTAACATTGGTCCAATTCTAGTAACTGAATGACACACTTATTCAGATGTCACCAGATTCTCCAAGAGGCTCCTTTTTTCTGTTCTGTGTTTCCATTTGGAATCTCACTTTGCTTTTAGTTGTCATATCTTCTTAATCTTTTTAAGATTCAAATCACTAACATTTTTCAGTCTTTGTCTTGTATGCTCTGATGCTTTTGGAAAGTGTTGTTCGCATTTGTTTTTTTTGAATGCCATTTGATTGGGGTTTATCTGATATTTTCTCATGATCAGATTGAGAATATACATTTTGGCAATAATATCACAGAAGATACATAGTAGGGGTTAATGAATAAATATTATTACCTTTAAGCTTTGATGCTCATTTGATGCTCATTTGATGCTCATTTGATGACATTAAGCTTTGATGCTTGGTTAAGATGGTGTCCCCATTGTAAAGTTACTAATCTTCCCTTTGGAAAATTAGTAAATATCTTGAAGGAGATAGTTTGAGATGATGCAAGAATTCTGCTTCTTAGTTTTTTTTTTTAAATTTCTGAGTAGTTTAAACAATTGTGGCCAAATATATATAACATAAAACTTACCACTGTAACCATTGTTAAATGTATAGTTCTGTGGCATTAAGTACATTCACATTACTGTGTAACCATCACTACCATCCATCTCTAGAACTTAATTTCCCTCAACTGTAACTCCTTACTCATTAAACGCCAATTCCCTAAGTCCCTGGTAATCACCATCCCACTTTCTTGTCTCTATGAACGTGACTGTTCTAGAGACCTCGTGATAAGAGGAACCATAAAATATTCTTCTCAAAGGTCTGCCTACTAATTTTAGCATCCTTTGGAAGATTTTGCCCACAATGGTCATGTGGCATTCTGATGGTGACTTTCTATTTCTTGCATTCCTTCTACTCATCTGCTTTTGAAAGCATTAAAGTCTTCCTTTGATTCACTTCAGGACTGGTAGATCAAGTTCATCCTAATTCTTAGAGAGGAAGAGTTAGCAGAGAGTAACTCAAATTGCTGTTTAATAGAAGGGAACAGGACTATTCCATACTTGTGCATCAGGATCAAGACACAGTTTGCAGGTCCCAGTGCAAAATGGAAATGTGGGGACCCTTGTTAAAAATTTATTAAGAATTTCAAGATGGCAAGAGCAGAGCATTAAACCAAGCAAGTCCTTCTGGGCCCTATACTACTGCACACCCATGATGCCCGCCCTGTTGTGCAACTGTCTCTAACTTCTCAGGACCACCCCTATACTTGTTCACTTGTGTAGAAGCCCAAAGGACAAGCAATTGTGCCCTCGTTTTGGCCATCTCAGAGATCTCAGGGCAATCAGGAGGTAAGATCATTTCATTCTTTTTAAGTCTTTTTTTTTTCTCTTGCTCTAATCAAGTTGGGAAAGAGACTTCCTGCTTCTCTTTAACTAGCTCAGTACTAGGCTAACAACACCTCAAATTAGGCTTCAAGTCTAAGGAATCCCAGACCAGAACTCTCACAGGCCCCCAGTTTCTTACCACAATGGAAGTCAGGTCCTCACTCTCAAAGCGGCTGATGGCCTGGTCCAAGGATTTATACATGGCGGCAGAGATGCGCTGGGTAATGAGTCTGTTCAAGTCAATTGATCTACCCAACAACTGCATGGAAGAGACAGAGAGAAAATTTACTTAAGGTTCTCACAGGTACATGACAACTAAATGCAATGTACTAATAGGAAATTGGATTAAAAGCATAAAGGACATTACAAGGACAAATGGGAACTCTATGCAGAAAACAGGATTGTTATATTTCCTGAATTTGGTTATTCTATTTTGATTATGAGAGAATGTCTTCTTAGGAGATACATGCTGAGGTATTCATTGGTAAAATGTCGTGACATCTGCAACTTACTGAGAAATGGCTAAGAAAAAGTAAATATATTTAAAATGTATACATTTTAATGTTACATATATGTATTTTATGTTATTTATATATTTATTTACGATTTATGTATTTATTATTTGTATACTATTTACTATATTTGCTATATTTATATAGTATATATACTATATACTACTCATACATTTATATACTATTTATGTACTTTTTACATGTGTGTTTATATATTTATACACATATATGTGTATTTACATGTATATAAATACACACACAAACATATACTGCACTTTTCTAGGTGCCCAAAGATGATTATTCTTAACTATTTTTTTAGTGTATTTTTAAGAAAGAAAAATATGTATATAAAAAAGTGAAGCAACTAGTAAAAAATAGTAACACGAATATGCCTCTAGAGTATATATATATATATATATATATATGTTCATTGTGTTATTTTTTCAACTTTCCTGTAAGTTTGAAATATATAAAAATTTGAGGAAAAATATAATTCACCCAGACCGTAGGAAACGGCTCAGCATAGGCTTGGGCACCCCATGCAATGCTGACATCCTAAATTTAGCTATGAGGTCTTTCCCACATGAGTCCTGTGCCCCACTTCAGTCACCAGAGAAGGGCAGCTCCCTAGCAGACCTCCTGTGTGCCTTTATGGGGATTGGCACAGAAGCACAAGAATCAAGGGCTGATTACAAGATGGAAAACAGAACTTACGCTAATTTCCACTGGGGCACACACGCGTGGGCATTATCACAGATGCTATGCAAATAACAATAAACATTTATTGAGTACCTGCTATGTGCACTGTGCTTTGCTAGGCACCCAAGGGTTATTCTTAACAATTTTACTTTTCTTTTATTTCTCTTTTGGGAGATTTTCTACCAACTAAGACCCCTGGCAGCCACCTTGTACACACATCAAGCCTTCAGCGTTGAAAGTCCTGTAGCTAATTCTGGCCACATCAGTAACTGATTGCTGTAATTTCCTGAGAGGCCAGAAGAAGAGCACTGAATTCCTGCTGTTGGCAGAGGTGAAGATGTTCTTTTTTCTCTCCTAATTCTCCATTTCCCTTTGATTTCTCACAGCAGTGAAAATGTCCAGGGTAAGCCTTTCCTCTTCATTGGGGCACTTCTCAGCCATGTCCCTTTCCCTGGGTGGGTCTTGCCCACAAACACCGTGGCCCACCTACTAAACATTGAGGTGATGGCATAAAGGCTGTGCCACCACTGCTTGGCCCATAGTGGGGCTTAGGAGTTGGGCAGCTGCAGCATCTTGTATTTTGCCTGCCTGGCTCATGTTAACATTTTTAAGCATGGATATGTTTCTGAGCTCCTGGCAGCATTTATTTCCTCTCCATCTGGGGTCAAATGTGAATAGAAACCAACTCCATAGCAACAAACTGTAATTTCTAGCGTGGGTTTAGCTGACACGCTCCATTTCAAAGCACGAAGCAGCCTGCCTTCACTTAGATCAGCATTTGGGCCCCACTCAAGAACAGATTTACTCATTTCTTAGCTGCAATCCTGATGGAAGGGAGTGAGCCATGGCTATGACGAGAGAACCGAGGCTTTGGTGACTACAACTCCTGAGAGATGAGCTGCAAGGGGGACTGAGAAGCCCAGAACTTGAACTACAGGATGCCAACACCTCTTTATTGCCTGTAAGATTCTAAGGCTGTGCTATACCCATGCTCAGAAGGAGGGTGGAGAGTATGCAGTCCTGATCTCCAATCTCCCCACTAACTTCACGGCTACCTTCTAGCCCAATCCACCTCCCTTCTGGCTTTCTTTGCCATACCTGGACATGTCTCTGCTTCAGCAGCGTTTCGTAGCGGTTGGATGGTGGGTACGGGATGATGACTCCGTAATTCTTACATTCAGCCCTAAAGCGTTTATCCAACAAGACGCTGCAAGGGATAGAAGTTACATAAATCCAGTAAACATGACCATGGATGGTTTTTTATCTCCCAGCCATATCTATTTCAGACCAGAGGATCTGCTCAGGAAGCGCTAGCTGATATATTTTGAATATAGCTGTTTTCAGCTTTTTAGCCACATAAGCTCAACATGAAGCACAATTTCTAAGTTAAAGACAAGCAACACAGAAGTTGAGCCACTTCCCTCTTTTATTCATTTACCAAAAAAGCAATTGAGTGTGTGCTTGCCATATCCCAGGAAACATTCTGGTACTGGGGACACGAAGTTCCTGTCCCCATGGAACTGACTTCTAATGAAGAGAGATTGGTAACTAAATAAACAAAGGAATAAAATAATTTCAGGTGAGAGAAAATAACGCACCATATTTAGGGCTTACCAGGGACACACACACCTGTACATGGTCATTTTTAATCTCAAGACATCTTCTGAGTTAGATGTATTACTATTACTTTTCACACCGAGTTACATGTTGTAGAGTAATAGTGCTCTGAAGATGATAAAACAGGATCATTTGGTGCTAGGAGGTCAGGGAAAGCCTCTCTAAAGCAATTTTGCTGGATGGGCACCTACATACTAAAAATGTTAAGATCTGGGGGGAAGAGTGTTTCTGGCAGAGGAAAAGAAAGCTGGTTAGGATGGATAAAGGACAGGGCATGCTGGGGAGCATGACACAAAAATGAATTTATAAAGTTAACCTAGGGGCTAGATCATATGGGATAACATCAGCCACAGTAAAGAAGTTAGCTGTTTTCTAGATGTCACTGGCAGCCACTGCCAGTGGCTTTAGGTAGGCAAGTGACATAACATAATCTACACTTTGCAACAGAGAGAACAGCCACTAGCTCTACAGGAGCCCACCAGCCACCTGCAATGTAGAGGGTCCAAGCTGAAATGTGCTAGAAGTATAAAGTACACACTAGATTTTGAACACTTAGGAAGAAACAAGAAAACTGTCTCTTTAATAATTTTTTATATTGATTTCATGTCAAAACTGTATTTTAGATATACTGGATTATATAAAATATATGATTCAAATTCATTTCACCTGTTCTTTCTTTCTTTTTTAGCTACTAAAAAATTCAAAATGACATTTGTGGCTCACATTTGTGGTTACACTATATTCCTAATGGACACCACTGACCTACATCATCATTCTTCCCCTCCTGTGTTTTCTTGGACTCTCTCAATATCTCTCAAACTCCCCCAGCCTCCCATATATTTGGAAACCACTGATCTTACAGGCGGTAGTATAGATTAAGGGGTATTTTTCAGATAAGAATATTCTGTAAACTAAATTATATTAAGGACCCAAGGGTTTGACAAGTCTGAGTTTGTGTAGATAGCATATTTGAAATGAAAATGATCTCAGGGGCAGCCCGGGTGGCTCAGCGGTTTGGTACCTGCCTTCAGCCCAGGGCCTGATCCTGGAGACTGGGATCGAGTCCCCCATTGGGCTCCCTGCATGGAGCCTGCTTCTCCCACTGCCTGTGTCTCTGCCTTTCTCTCTCTGTGTGTCTCTCATGAATAAATAAATAAAACCTTAAATAAAATGATCTCAGACACACTGGAGGCCCAGCTCACTGTTACAACTGCATCATATTCAACCCAGACACTTACTAAGTGACTACTCTGTGAAAGGCTAAGTAATCTGTGCTTTCCCTGAAAGTACATGCTTTGTGTACTTCCCATCATCAAGAACCATTCACTTCATTTAATGCACATTCTGTGTTAACAGAAACTGGTGCGTTCTGCACGTCAACTCCTATTTGAAATATGTCAAGGCAACTCTAGCTGTCAAAAGCAAAATGAAGCAAATTCTCTTCATAGAAAGAAAAATAATTTATGAGACTTAAGTCATTCATTATTCTTGGCATTATTGGTTTGTACATTTGGATTTCCAAAAAGAAGGGAGATATTTATTTTGAGGTTTTTCTTGACCAGTACTGCTATGGGTTCTTGAAAGCCAGAAATTTACTAAATCAACATATACTAGCAATACCAATGAGCCTCCAATACTTAATATGTCTCTTACTGGACTTCTTCACTGCTCTCCTATGTGGCCTTTATATACCCATTCTTGCTCACCACCAATCCATTCCCCACATTTTTGTTTAGGACAGATTTTTAAGAATAAGATTTGAAACAGGTTCCCGTTATACTTTTGAAATCCCAAGGTATTCTATTCCTCCTAGGTAGATGTCTACCAGCCCCATCCCCTGAGCCCTGCCTATCTCTCCAGCTTTATCATGTAACTTGCCTCCTCTTGTGGCCTGTGGACGAGGCATTTACATGTACTAATTCACATTAATTGTCTCAACTGCCCTATTAATTGGAGTAGGCATGCTGTCAATACAATACTTCTACTTCAGGGATTTTGCACAAGCAGTTCTTTTGCCTGCAATTTCCCGTCTCATCCTTTACTTAGTTTTACTTAATGCCTATCAGCTTCAGATAAGAATGCCAATGTTACTTTCTCGGGATAGCCTTTCCAGTTCCTCACCTGAAAGACTAGTTCAGATTTAACCATCATAGATTCACATATTCCCACGAACTTTTCCTTTGCGGGGAGCATGCAACCTCCCTTATCACTGTGCTTTCATCAGTTTTTACTAAAGTCTGTTATCCCTGCTAGTCTGTAAGCTCCATGAGGTACAGCACCAAATCTGCCTATTTCCTTTCTCCTACATTTCAGCACCCAGTCCAGGCCCAGGTAATCACTCAGATTTCCTTAGGGGCTGAAGAAGAAGAGAGGTTTCACAACAGGAAACTATGTCTTACAGAGAGCAGTCTAAGAACATTTGTTCCTTACAGCCCTGGGATTCTCATACCTGCCAGCCATGGCTTTGTAGTAGGCAAAGATCTGGTCCGCCAGCTTGTAGACAAACTGGTCAAAGCACAAGTTCACCTGTGAAAGGGAAGCAGGAATGTCAGTGCTGTGCGTCTAGCTTTATCACAGAAGCATAGGCAAATTGCAAGGGGCAACTGGGCTGTATTGTGTGTTGTAGGGCAAGATACTTTGAATAGCAAAAAAAGAAGATTCTGTGGCTAAGTAAGTTAAGAAGTTTGGTCCCTTGCCCTCAAGGTCCTTAGTTAGGTACAGAGAAGGCAAAGTTCGAAAAGCTGTTGAGGAACTGGCCTCTGCTTAGGTCCCCTCCTTGCAGTTCCAAGGTGGGAAGGCAAGATAGATCTTTATATCCTGCAATTACTCACATCAGCCCACCCATCCTCCTCCCTGCTAGACTTTCTCGTCTTTTCCTTTCACTTTATTTGTTACTTGCTTGACAAACGAAGAAATTGATGGTCCTCGGAAATTGAAAAATATCTTTTTTTCAAACTTTGCTTGAAAACCTTTGTCTGTTAATGAATATGGGTTCAATTTGCCATCTCTGCGTCTGTCTCATCACATCGGTGGCAGATTGTGATGCTCAGGTGAGAAGTTCATGTCTGACACAGATCAAAACCAAACCCTCCATTGATGGCAAGAAATAGCCAAGGGTGCGACCTTAATGAGATGGGGCTGTGGTGGTAGCAGAGCACCATGTGACTTCAAAGAGAAGAGAGCATAATTAGGGGACTGATCTTCTAGTCTTCCTTCACCAAATTCTCAGCTCCATAAAGCTAATTCTTTATCTGAAGAGTTTCTGTATCTCTTACTTTATATCCTAGATGTTATCTTGAACATAAAACACAGAGCTGTGTGCAGTTTTGCCCTCAGCTGCAGGTACCCAAGGCCTCTGCTCTGGACTTTATGCTTCAAGGGTCCCACCAGGTCTTCTTCCAGTTGAAGAACCTGCAGGGCTAAGGTAGAGGTGCCTACTCATACCTTAAGCTCTCCTTCTAGAACCAGCCTTTACTATCCTTGTCCCAAAAGCCCAAGCCCCTTCCAGGCCTGTCTGTAGTTTTCCCTGGTATTGTCCCTGAATGTGGACTGCATGGCAGGTATATGCACCCCTAGGGTTGAGGGTTAGCTAAGGGGCCATTGTTTGTGGGCAGTGGTGGCAGACAAAGCTTGGGTATCTACACACATGCACATGAGGCTCTTTGTAGTACAGAACAAAATCTTCAGATGGGAAGAGAAAAAAGGGGACAGCCCACAAGCTGGGGGGGGGGTTTCAATTTGTACTTTGGCCCCATGCCCTCAAATGTTACCCAGGGCCTGGCTGTGTGCTTTCTTCATATTTAAGAATCTCACTTGGCCACATGACACTCTAGAATTCTTTTGTTTTCAACCTGTTGGAGAACACAACTATACAGGATCTTGTCAGAGCATGGGGTTGTCAAAGTTAAGATGCAACCAGTTCATTTGTCTCCTGGAATCTCTCTTCCCAAGTTTGTGCTCAGGAGAAGAGATCTGGGTTGGGGTCCATTAAGGTTTTCAACTCCCAAAGAAATTGGAGGGTAGAGAAAGCAAGCAGTACCTCTCCTAGATTTTCTTTGAAATACATAAACTGTCAAACTAAGTTGGTGGTGGTGTTACTCCTAAAACACTCAGGTCTTTCCTTTATAAACAAGAATGTTTTATATTTCTATGATATTTTTACCTAATTGGCCTCATTCTGTGTTTATATAGATAGCCCCATGCAGTTAAGGAAGAACCCAGACTATTATTCCATTTCCCAGGAGGCAAAACTTAGAAATTTCAGTAGCCATCACTACTATTGGCCTCGTCCTTCCATGTGGCAGGATTGTACTTCCTTGCGCCTCTCTGTGAAGGCGATGCAGTCATGTGACTTGCTTTGACCAAATGACATGTGTCATTTCCAGGTGGAAGTTTTGAAGTACCAGTAACACTTCCTCCTGCCATGGCAATTAGTGAATGTTCCACGTGGGTCCTGACTCGCAGACTACATGGACCAGAGCCCCCAACCAACCCATAACAGAGAAATAAACCTTTGATTTCAAGGTACTAAGAATTTGTAATTATTTGTTACTGCAGCATAACCTAGCTTATCCTGACCATTACAGAAATAAAACCATTGAATGACTAATAATAAACAGCTTAATAGTTGAGATAAAGGTTACTTCAGTCCTACCACTACTACCAAGTGACTCTTTACACTGAGTGACTTTGGCATTATGATAACTGACCACTTTAAGTCTAAGACTAATCTGTAAAACAGATTAATAGTATATACCTCTTTAAATTGCTATGAAGGTTATTTAAAAAGTTGTTTTAAAAGCAAATGGTGAATATATAATAACTGATAGGTGATATTGCTGTTATTATTAACAAAATGTTTCAACCATAAAAGATTCATTAGAATATTAATATTACCCATGCAGTTTTACCATCTGTTATCCCTTAATATATCTGAAAAAGAAAGACCATCATCTTGGTCTGGGTCCTTTTTGATGATCATGATTTGTTAAGATCACTCTCCATATAGTGAATGCTATTATAATAGCATTGTATGGGGACAGATGGTAGCTACACCTCTGGTGAGCACAGTTATGACGTACAGAATTGTAGAATCACTGTGTTGTACACCTGAAACTAATGTAACATTGGGTATCAACTATACTGCAATTTTTTTAAAAAAGTCATAAAAAGAGATCATTCTCCAGAACAAGTCACTGATCCCACATTGCTATGGTCTGAATATGTGTGTCCCCCAAAATTCATATATTGAGATCCTAATCCCCAAAAGTGATTAGGCTGTGGGGCCTTTGGGAAGTGATTAGGTCATGAAAGTAGACCCTTCATGAATGGGATTAGGGCTCTTATAAGAGAGAAACTAAGGGGCACTTGGGTAGCTCAGTCAGTTAAGCTTTTTGATTTTGGCTCAGGTCATGCTCTCAGGGTCGTGGGATCAAGCCCCTGAGTCTGGCTTTTTTTTTTTTTTTTTTTTTCTCTCTCTCTCTCTCAAATAAAATCTTAAAAAAAAAATTGTAAAAAGACCACAGAGAGCTCCCTCACCCCTTCCACTATGCATACAATGAAAAGTCTGTGACCCAGAAGGGTACCCTGATCTAGACATTTAGCCTCTACAACAGTATTTTTTATAAGCCAGTCTGTGGAATTTTGGTATAGCAGCCTGAATGGACTGAGACAGCCCACTTTGTGCCAAGAGCTACAGATTTAAAAAGTCCACATTGTTGGAATAAGATTATAGGAACAAAAGGAGATGTGGGGGTCACTTGCCTCAGCTTCAATCTCATCATACAGGAACTGCTTTTTAAACTTGGTCAGAGCATAGTAGGCGCTGTCATTGTACAGGTCCAAAGGGTAGAGGACGTACCTGAAGAGAGAAAAGCAGAGACCAGCAGCTTACTAATCTCTCTGAAAGCAAGTGGCTTGGGAAATATGAAGGTTTGGGTGAAAACATGAATAAGCTTGGGATTAATATGAGAGAGCCTTCCAGCATTCTGAGGTTTCCAAATTGCCTTCGGAATGCCTTACTTTACAGTCTGCCTATAGAAATCAGAAGTCCATGATGTTAATAAATCCAAGGCCTGAAACAATTAGTCTGGGACCAAAAGAAATCAGGTGGCAGTTAAGGATATTAGCTTCCTGGTCCCCAGAGATGACTATCTTCCAAGCATAGCTGCCCGACACTGACAGAGCACAAGAAGGGCAGTTGGGCTGGTATAATCCTGAGCCTATCTGCAAGGCTGAGTCAAATCTGGTATGACCTGATCCTTGGCATGAGCGCTTTTCCTAGTAGGGCCAAACTGCCTCATCTCGAAAGTTCTGGAAAGAACAGAGCTCCCGAGCAAACTGCCCTCCCTCTGCACCCTGGGAACCTCCTTGCTGACCCAATACTGCCTCTTACTCCATCATGGAAGGTTCTTTGGTTTCCAGGATATGGTCTGTTAGAATCCAGGGCATGGACATCTCAATTGGGAACTGGATTCGCCGGCCCATGGTTAACTCCAGGAAGAATTCTCGGAACCAGAGCTGAGAGAGGTCACAACATTGCTGCAGGGCTTCTGAAAGCATTAAGGAAAGAGCAGCGGGTTATACAGAAGAAGCACCAAAAGATCTTTGTTCCTATTAACTTGGTTCTTATTGCTTTTGCTATTTCTACCACTATACTGGAGTACAGCAGGTACTCATAAATATGACCTAATCAGTAGATCCTGCTCTCTTTTACCTGAAGGTCAGTCTAATATCTACTTAGAAAACAGCATCTGTTAGACTCACAGTAGCAGCCCCAGGGTGGAGGAGAGCAGTGACATTTTAAAGCTTTAGATGCCCCCACAATCTCCATCATCCTCCTACAAGGCCAACCTGAAGACCCACAATCTTAGTGGAAAAAGTGTGCTTGCTATCCAAACATAGTGTCAAGCCAGCTCCCCAAGTGCCCGCTTTTCACTGCTCCTTGTCCCCTTGTATATAGTAATTCTGGTTTTTATCCACTTAGAAGCCTTGAGGGGCCCTGGTCTGTGCTCTAATGGAGATGTCTGGATTCGTTAAGGTTACTGTTCTAGTACCAACAAATGCATTACCACTCCTGCGTCTCTGGAGACTGCTGTCCTTCCCCCTGCCCTGTCCCACCTGCAGAGGTGTCCTGCTAATGGGAGAACAGGATCGGGGGACATGGCTTGGGGTCCAGCTTGGAAGCCTCCTTTGCAACGAGCAACAAGAGTAATCAGCACAGAGCTGCTGCTTAAAAGCTAAGGGCTGCCCAAATGCCTGGTTGCATCTGTGAGTATGTTGCTGGATTTTCCCCTTTACTAAGGACTTCATGACAAATAAACCACAAATGTCTACCAGACAAATTTAGCTGAGTCAGAATAGCTGAACTGACTTTCCAAGCCCACCAGAAAGTGTGCATTTTTTACCTCGGTGGCGAAACGTGCCCTTCTGGTCGATGACCACATTTCTTTGCAACTTTTGGTCCAACAGCCTTAGTGGGTCTGGGACCTGCCCCCACCCAACCGTCCTCTCCCCACTGCCTGGACAGCGTGACTCACCACTGATATTGAGCAGGTGTGTGAAGAAGAAGGACTGTTTGTGGAAGTCCTCTATGGCGAGGACGATGGGTCCATCAAGGCTGCTCCTCAATGTCTTCTTGGAGCCGCTCTTGTCTGCGATGAGTGATTCAAGCATGGTCCGCACCATGTACAGCTTGAAAGAGAAAGTAGGAGGAGAAGGTCAGGGGCTGGCCCTCTATCCTGGGGTAAAGGTTTCTTTGTGCTGTGTTTATATTTTTCTTTTTTTTCTGATGTCTGCTCTTAAAAAGCCCTTCTTAAGGAAGCACCAGTTTAGGGTTGGAGAAGTGAATTTCGAACATGTAAACCTTCATGAGGGAGAGTGGCCCGCCCAGAAAGGACATTCTGCCCAGGGCCTGTGGCATCCCTGGGTAGGTGGACTTGATGTAATAACAAGTCATTCAAGGCCCAAGTTTTTGCTGGCTCTGCTTGGCCAAGGGCATGGGCATCAGAGGAGAACCTCAGTTCACATCACTCTGGAGTCACTCTCTGCTTTACTGGTTGGCTATGGTGGCACCCTGGACTTGGGTCTATGGCCAGGCACTGCTACTGTCTTGCTGTGTGACCTTGGGCAACAAAGTCCCACTCTGGGCCTCAGTTTTCTTATCTGCTAATACGAGGGGGTTGCACCAGATGCTTTCTCAAGCCAGTCCCTTTCAGCTCTAGCATTTTGAGGAATTGCGAAATGCGGTTTGATCAGAGCAAGCCCCCCCCACCCAGCCACCTCAAGCTTCAGACCCTTAGCACTTGGAATCCATTACCAAGGGATGGCGCCCTCTGGTGGCGCCAGCTGCATTGCACAGCCTACCGAAATCCTGGGTGGTAAGCGGGTGAAGATGGGTACTTACACAGGAGGTCTACTAGACAACCAACTCCCGCTTACAGAGGGCCTTAAGTGCAAAGGGTGCAAGTGCTAATCTAGATCTTTCCACATCATATGTCTTTGAATCTTAGGGCTGGAAGGGGCCTTGAGGAGCCAGGCTAGTCCATTCCTGCTGCCTCCTGGAGAAGTGTACCCCAACCAACCCAGCCAGGCGGTGTTATACCAGGGATCGGCAGCCTCTTCGGCCCTGTGTGCCACCAGTGGGGTGAAACAAAGCCCGCGGGGACCACTGGCAGGCCTAAGACATAGATAGGAGAAAAGAGGAGGGAATGGGAGGGCAGGAGAGACAGGGAAGAGGGAGAGAGAGAAGAGAGAGAGAGAAAGAGAAAAGCAAGAGGTATTGTATATGGTGGGAAAGCCGCCGCGACTGCTAGGGGCCACTTGCCGACCACCTCTCAGAAGCTCCAACCTCCCTCTGCCACCACGTCTGCCCTGGCTGCCTCTGGATCTCCTCCAGGACCATACCCACCATGCGCCTGGCACCTGGCCGGGCAGCGCAGCCACAGAGAGGAGGGGCACACCGCCCCTACCGCAGCATTTCCCTTGATGGTCAAAGAGCTACCATGGTGGCTGATTTATGGGACAGTCCACCCACTGCAACCCCATCGGTGGGCAGGCCTGATCATCCTTAAGAACTGAGAAGCACTGCTCTGATGATGGCCCTTGGAGCCACCAGGATTCTAATGATGGCCCTTGGAGCCATCCTTCCAGGAAAGGATTTATCAAGTACAATCCATGTGGTATTGACTTGATTTGCATCAAATTCTATTTGAAAATCCATTTTGTTGGTAAGAGGGGGACGTCCTCTCCCACCTATGTCTATTGACCGGAGCATTTAAGTCATCAGATCAGTCAGCATCCCAGCTATGTTAGAAGCACCTGTCCACTGTGCTCTGCAGGCCCTAACAGAGCCCTGGGGCGGGAGTCAGGAGACCTGGGTTCTTGTCCCACCTCCACCTGTGACTCACCTTGTGACTTAGACAAGTCACTTCCCCTCTCTGGACCTCAGTTTCCCCATCTGTAAAGCAGGGAGGGCACTGGGACTAGCTTCTCTCTAAGGGCTCTTCTGGCTCCGTTAGAGAGTCTACTCAATGCATTTGTACCACCTCACGTAATTGGAGGCTGACTTGTGGTCATGCTCCCCTCTCAGACCACCTGTATAGATACTCTTTCCACTCCTCTTGTCTCCTTCTCTCTCTCCCTCTCTGCCTGTTTGGCCCTTCCCCTCAGCCTCCTTTCTAGTGTCTTTCCTGCCTTGTCTGTGTCTCACTCACTTGAGTCTTGGGGCTTCCAGAAACACCTGAAAGCCCTGCTTAGCCCCTCCAGGGTATTCTAGGCTGGAAAGGTTCTTGACATTATACAGAAGTGTTTGTAGAAGCTTCCTTGGGATTTCCAAGACCAGCAAGATCAGTGCAAACTGGCCCACGGGCTGTGAAGCCAAGGGAAGTGACAGTGATGCTGCTGAGAACCCATCCTACCCCATCCCTCCTCCCCGTCCCCTGCCCAGACACAGACACAGACACATAGAAGGGGTAGGGGTGGGCCTCGGATGGCTCCTCTCAGATGGTTCACATTCAGGACTGCAGAGCTGAGTCAGGCTGGAAGGTCATGTCAAGGGGGAGTTCCTGTAAGACCCCTGAAAGTTCGACAGACTCTCATGCTTTTTTCCAACACTTCAAAAAGCCTACCAGGAACTGCTTATCCTTAAGTTAGTGGCAAGGATTCAACTAAGATGCCCAGATTCTTTTTCTTTTCTTTCTTTCTTTTTTGGAATTTAATGACTACTTTGGATAAATCACAGGTGACCTCTTGTTCAGAAGCTTTGGTTAGCAACTCTGAATCTCTCTGATTACTAGACTTTCTCTAAGGGGTCAAGGGTTTTTGATACTTGTGCATTTGAGGAGATAATAATAATAATATTTTGTCAGTACCATGATCTCATTCAAAATTTTCACTTAATGGAGAAGATAATCAGAGAACAGAGAGATCAAGGTGCTTACCCAAGATCACACAGCACATCAGAGGCAGAACTTGTGAATTCCCAAGCTAGGACGTGCAGGGGAAGGGGCCAGGGTTCACTAAAGGGGGACAGGATAGATGAATATAGATTTGACTTTAAACTCTTCCTATACTTTGGAACCTATACTTCACAGGGTCAGGAGATAGCCAGTCCTGGTATTACCCCCATTTGCCAGATTAGACAACTGAGGCACAAAGAGACTGTGTAACGTGCCCGAGGTCACACAGGTTTCTAGGACTAGAATCCAGGTCTCCTGAATCTTAAGCTGGTAGTCCTCCCTCCTGTATTAAAACAAGATGGCAGAGTAAGACTAGTGCAGCTGCTGGACCCTGCCCCTCCTGCCTGAGGACCCCCAGCCCCATGGCCCCATGGTCCAGCCAGGATGAACTACCGTGGCCTGGCTGGCCTCTAGGTCAACCGAGCTAGCCTGTGCCCGGAACCACTTACCTGTGTGCTGGAGGGCCCCACAGCACGCCGGGGCACCTTGATGTCAAATCCACCCTTGGGATCCTTCTCCCCTCTCAAGCATGGGTCATTGGGGGGCTCTCGGCCCCCTTCCCAGTCACAGATGGTTTTTCGAATTGCCTGCAGGACACTGGGAAGGAAGAATCGATACTCAGACCAGGTTTTACCACTGGAAGGAGGCCCTGCAACTCCGTTTCTAGAGTCCGTGAGGGCCCAGGACACCTTGTCTTAGAATTCCTGGCCCCACCCCCAAGAGGTGCCGGCTTCCCAGGCTTGAGCCATGGTCCAGAAGTCTAACTCTCAACAAGTACCACAGGCAATGCTGATGCCCACTGGCTAGTTTCCTTTCTCATTATAGGGGAGTTTCAGGAGTCCAATTACATCTCTGTATGTTTGAAGTTTCAATAATAGCTTATATTTGTTGTATACTTACTCCATGCTGCTGTGTGCTTAGATCTACACACTGATTATCTCACCTTATCATCCTACCAGGCAATAAATGAAGTACCATTATATTCCACATTTTACAGATGAGGAAACCTGAGGTTCAGAGAAAGTAAGTTACTTGGTCAAGTACACAAAGCTAGTAGGTGGATACAGGCTTCCAACTCTTCCAGACTGGGGCTTAATTCATTTCAAATGCCAATCTACTAAGACAGCCTCCTAGAACTTGCTAGAAGAGTCTGTGTGTGTGCAGAGGCTGCGCTGGAAGCTGACTGAGCCAGGGACTTCCCCTGTGGTGTGCACGTAGCACCCTTGATTTTTTTATGTGACCCCTGGAAAGGGCCATCTGACCCACCTGATAAGGACGTTCTTCTTCTTCCGCACTGCCTGTCTCAGGGGCTCACGCAAGGTCACCTGGGCAAAGTCCTGCAGGGCCGCGTAGATGGTATTCCTGATGGCCTGGTTGAAGACGCTCTCCATCCTGCCCATGAGTACCTGCAGGCCCTTGATCATGGCGATCACCTGGTCAGGCACAGATTAAGGTCAGGCTCACCAGGCTTCAGCTTACCTATCCATCTAGTACCCTTCACTGCATTGCAGAGAGGGTGCTCTGTGAGATGCCCAGAAGCAAAAGGCCAGTGCTACTCAAAGTGCCAGTTCACTGCTAGGTAAGAAACACGTGCCAGGATGGAAATCAGCACTCTGTCTTCTTCATCAAGAAAAGTCCTGCTATAAGGCAAAGATATTAGCTACACTGAACAGTGGGCTTCATGACACAGCCAATTTTCATTCTGGCACGGTTTCCTATCTTGTTGCTGATTGATATCACACAGCAGCCAGTCCATGGAGCACATTTCATAGATCACTCTGACATCGAGAGGCCTCTCCATGTACCACACACCCACAGACTGTATCAAATAGAACTTTTTTACTATAAAATTTTCTATAGAAGTATAGTTTCCACAGTGTGGGAGGAGTTTAAAGTCAAATCTATATGCATCTACCCTGTCTTCCTTTAGTGAACCCCGACCCCTTCCCTTGCAGTGATGTCCTTGAATTTTTACAATCTTTGCTTTTGAAATAATTTGGTCATTTGCTGTTTAAGTCCCTAGAACTTTTTCCTAATGATGTAAAATCTCTGTAGAAGTCTTGGGTGAGGGAAAGCCTCTGCCCTTCCTTTTTCTGCTTTCCAGGCTATAGAGATGGGAGGCAGGCATTTGTGGTGAGTGTATCCTGGCCTGCCTTGGAGCTCTCCTTTGAGATCTGTCTGCCTATAGGGACAGATCCCCTTCTGGGTTCCTTACTTCTCCTTGCAATCACCATTCCTTCTCTATCCTGAGGAACAGAGGCATGCATGTATCATTTGTTTCCCAGTAGGTAAATTTAATGGGATGGAGAAGGAATAAGAAGTTTTGGGTGGCCTTGAGTGAAGTCACATCCCTAGTTTAGCTCACCTGTGACAAGCCTGATCCTTTGGCCCCTATCAGCCACGAGTGCTAATATTGGGAGTGATTCCGAATTCTGAGGGGACAGCACAATGCCACAGCAGCCTCCTGACAACCACCACACTTATCACACCCAACGTGATGTGCTAGACTTCTACCTCTGCATCAGACTCTAGGTGCTGAAGGGGTGAGGCCCAGCAATGTGCACACCCTAGGCCTACAGCCTGGGCCTGGAGCAGGCCGTCAGAAAATTTTTGTTGAAAAGGAATGAAGAAAGTAATGAATGAGTTTAGATGCTAAGATTTTGTCTTCCTCTAAATCTTAAAGGAATAAATAGAACATCTGAGGTTTGGGGAAACGGTGAGAACAGTTCAGGAGGTAAGGATTATATATATACCATAAGCATAGTGGTTCTGCTGGAGAGAAGCTTTAGTATAAAGAAATAATGGGACAGAAGTCTTAAGGGAACATCACATCATGAAAACATCTAGGCTCCTGGCTAGAGATGTAACTAGGAAATAATGAGACAAAGGAAAACAGATAATGGAGAGGTTTTAGAATAATTCCAAACACAGCAGAGTATGCAGATCTGTTACACCTATAGGGAAATCTTTGCAACTTTGGTCTAGGCAGATATTTCTTAGATAGAATACAAAAATCACAAACCAGAAAATAATTGGTAAGTTGAACTTTATCAAAATTAAAAACAGTCGTTCTTCAAAAAAGGTACCCCTAGAAAAATGAAAAGGCAAAGTCAACAAATACAAAAAATATTTACAACATATATCTGCTAGGGGCTTGTATCTACAATATATAAAAATTCTCACAATTCAATAATAAGACAGAAACCCAATTTAAAAAATGGGCAAAAGATTTCAGAAGACAACATTTCAGAATGGAAGATACATGAATGGCCAATAAGCACATGAAAAGATGCTCAATATCAGTAGTCTTTAGGGAAATGCAAATTAAAACCTCAATGAGATTTCACTAAATAGTCATTAGCATGACTAAAATTAAGAAAATTGGCAAAAGCAAGGACTATGAGGGTGTGGAACAATGGAACTCTCATCTACCACTGGTGGGAATATATAAGGGTATATCCACATCGGAAAACCATTTGGCAGTTCCTTAAAAAGTTAAGTATTAACCTACAATGTGACCATTCCAAGAGTAAAAACCTTTATCTATACAAAGACTTATACTCAAATTTTTAAAGCAACTTTATTCATACTGGCTCAAAGCTAGAAACAGCCCAAAGTTTATCAATAGTTGAATGGGTATACAAATTATAGTATATATCCATACAATGGAATTATACTCAACAATACAAAGAAACAAACTACTGATACACAAAACAATGTGGATAAAACTCAAAATTATGATGGTGACTGAAATAAGCCAAACACACACGCAAAAAATACAAACTATACAAAACAATAGGAAATACAAATAGATCTATGGTGACAAAAAAAATATATGTATCTATATCTATATCTATATCTCTATTATCTATCAGGCCTGTGGATGGTTGGAGGATAGATAGTAAATGGTACAAAGTCTTTAAGGGGAGGTGGAAATGTTCTGCATCTTTTTTTTTTTTAAAGGGGATGTATTGTGAATTTGTGTGTCATCCTTGTGGGACGTCCAGGCTAACCTTCTCTGTACTGTTCCAATTTTAGTCTATGTGTTGCCAAAGGGAAAAAAAAATGTTCTGTATCTTTGTGGTTTCATAGGTGTGTATATAACAGCCAAACTTTACATGCAACTTTAAATGGATACAGTTTATTGAATATAAATTATACCTCAAGAAAGATGTTAAAAACACTATACTATCCTCATGAATGAATGACCCAAGAATAGAGTCTTATGAAAGGAACATTTAGAGAACAAGATGGAGATTCTGGACATTAAAAATATAATAGGGACAACAAAAAATACTAAGAGTAGAAAGTTGAACTTCAGGATATGTCCCATAAGACAGAACAAAAATGAGTGATGGACAAAACAGAAAAGATAAAAACATGAGACACTAAATCCGGGGGATCCAACATCTGATAACTCATCTCATCTTGGTTTCCACCTGTCATTCTTAGATCACTCATTAGCCTGGGCATTTTTCTTATCTCTTTTAGCCATTTGTCTGTCCTTGTTTCTGCTGTTGGCTTCCTTTTTCCCACTTTTCTAGTAGAGTAAATGCTTCCCCCTTGGATTCTTAGGAACAGAGTGAGTTTCTAATCATTTTTGAATGGTAACTTTATTTTTTAAGATTTATTTATTTTAGAGAGAGCATAAAGGGAGAGGCAGAGGGAAAGGGAGAGAGAATTTCAAGCAGACTGCGCTGAGCGCAGAACCCAATATGGGGTTCGATCCCATGACCCAGAGATCATGACCTGAGTAGAAATCAAGAGTCGGTTGGGTCACTTAAGTGACTGTGACACTCAGGTGCTCCTGAATGGCAACTTTTGACAAAGATTATATTAGGCAGGGGGAGAACAGGGAAGTGTATGCATACAAGGATCATGGCTGCCATCTTGCTCAGAAACATTGTTGGAATCACAAGGATCAACACCAGCAGCAGCCTGGGGTGGGATGGTAAGGAGTGGGGGTGGGGGGTAGAGGGGTTGAGGAATGGAGGGAGTCAGTACCCACCTCGACGAAGGCAAACTTCTCTTCACTAGTGTAGTTGTAGCGCGTGGCTCTCTCATACTCTTCTGCAGTACCAGGGCAGTCCTTGTTGCAGAACTTGTCTGTGGGATGGACCAGCTTCCAAGAGTACTAGCGAGGGGGGGGGGGAACCCAAATGTCCATCAGCAGATGAGAGGGAAAAGCTAACATGGCGTGACCTTGTGTGTTGGGGGGTACTCCTCAATTATAAAAGGGAATGAAGTTCTGATTCAGGCTATAACATGGATCATGGTTATTGAAGGCATGAATAAAGAAATCAGACAAAAATAACTACATATGATATGATTCTACTTAAGGGAAACATCCAGAACAGGGAAATTATAGAGACAGAAGACAGATTGCTTAGGGCTGTGGGGATAGGGAATGGGGGGGTGATGGCACAGGGTTTCTTTTGGAACTGATAAAAACATTCTAAATTTGACTGTCGTTGTACAATTCTGTGAATATGCTAAAAACCAACAAATCTGCATTTTAAATGAGTGAATGGTATAGTGTGAAAATTATATCTCAGTAAGGCTGTTAAAGGAAGAGTGCTGGGGAGAGGCAGAGGCAGACAAGAGTTCGCGTGAATGGAGGTCAGGCTGGAGAGGTCTGGGGAGGGAGAGGCCCTCTGCCTTCATGACACCTACCACCTCCATGACGTGCGCACTCCACTTGGATAAAAGCTGCAGGCCCCGCAGGGCCAGGTCAAAGAGCTCACGGTACTCCTCGTCTGATTTCTGGCTGTCCAGCCCGGAGCCAGTCACCACCTGGGGAACATGAGCTGTCACCCTCACCATGTACGTGCCTGGCACTTTTAGATGCTATCTGAATCCCCCACGAAGAATACAAAGGAGGTGCTAAAATTATATCCTCTTTGATAGATAAACCGAGGTTCAGACAAGTTCTTGGTTGAAGGCCACATGGGTCATAAATGGTTGAGGGTTTAAACTCAGGTGGTGTGATACCACAGCCCCACTCACAACTACCCCTGCTATACTGCAGAGCTGTGGCTTTCAAAATTTTTAAATTGCAAATTACAGCTGTAGGACACACAACAAATTAACTCAGGAACACATACCTGTGTGTGAATATATATATATACCAACATTTTTCATGAAGTAACTTTACTCATAATTTCTCTGATTGTCTGTTCTATCTCATACAAAAATGCTAATCATAAGCCACTATATTAATTTCACAACTCATTAATTAGATGTCTCACCAATTGAAAAGTGATGAAGATAAACACCTACTTGAATGTGTATTATTCCATAAGGCAATATGGATGTATGCAAGTGCATATGCATAGATATGCATGCAATATGTATGCACATATGTACGCATACATACATATACATGCATGCGTGTATGTAGCGCATATGCGCATATACGTTTGTGTGCATACATGTATGTACCTGCATATATGTATATACATATCGAGTCAGCCCTCATTATTTGTGGGTTCTGGTACTGTGAATTTGCCTACTCACTAAAATCTATTTGTAACCTTCAAGTCAATACTTCCAGTACCTTCACTGGTCATTCACAGGTACGTGCTGAGTGGTGAAAAATCTGAGTCCTGTCCCAGCTGAGGTTGAACATGATGACCCTCTGCCTTCTTGTTTCAGTAATCATGCTGTATACCTGTCCTTTTCATGGTTTATTTAATGCCTCGTTTTCCACATTTTTGAACTTTTTACTGGTGATTTCACTATTTAAAGTGGCCCCAAGTGTAGTGCTCAAGTTCTGTCTAGTGATGCTAACTGCAAGGCTATGACATGCCTTAGGGAAAAAGCACAGGTTTTAGATAAGCTTTGTTTGGATGTTAAATTATAGTGCTGTTGCATGTGAGTTAATGTCAACGAATTAACAATATATATTATAAACATACATTACATAAGGGGACTTTAAATAGAAACACACAGAAAACGAGGGTTATACATTGATCAGCATATGAAAATGTTGTGACCAAAGGTTCAAAGGAACTGAACTCTGTACTTCCTCTAGGAGCAACAGTTCAGCATTTGTTGATCTAGTGTTCGTGCCCACTTTATAGAATATAATTTCCGTGAATAATGAGAATTATCTGTGTATACACATGTATAACATGTATAACTTAAAAAAAAAAACTTTAAGCCAAATTCATTGTTAGATCACACCAAAACTTGACAAAGATGAAGGAGGCCCCAGCACTCAAATTATTCTCATAGCTTTAGTTGATTGTTACATATGGTCAAGAAAACCAAAGGTTTGGGCTTGACCTTGGTCTATGTCTTCTAGGAGACCTCCTAAGGATATGGGCTGCCTGTCTAATGACCACACCATGTGCACCTGTCTGACTGTCCTCATTTCAAATATGCTGCCCTTTGATCAAAGACATTTTCTGAGTTTGGGTTTGGAAAGCATGTGCATGATCACCGCCAGCCACATGATGGAACCAGTGAGCAAACGTGGGATAGTGCAGAGTCATCCAGGTTGGAATCCAGAGACCTATGTTTATCAAACCAATATGTAAATTTATTAGAAGGGTATATATGGGAAGAGTCCAGGAGGATATAGAAACCGAAGTATTAATCACAGTTGGTGCTGGTTGGTACAATTTTACATGATTGACTTCTCTTCTTCGTATATTTGTATTTTTTCTGAGGTTTATGCATTGGCTATATTTCCATATTAAAAAAAAAAAAGAAAAGAAAAATTTGACACCAGTTAAAAATGTAATTGGTGGGATTGCAAGAGATTTTATGGTCTTCTGTCCCTAATTGCATTTTCTGTTATGTTATAAGGATAATTTATTATTGTGTAGTTTTAAAATATTTAGTAAGTGCTTTGAGCATGACTGTTCAGAACTGTTTCTCTTGCCCTCCAGGGTCAAAATGGCTGGGATTGTGTGCAGATCAACCATTACTGGGCCACCATTATCTGCTGGGCAAGATGCATTTTCCATGCATCCTACTGTTTAATCTTCTCAATGAACCTTTCCAGATACTATTACCCCCATTTTACAGATGAGGAAACTGAGGCACAGAGATTGTGAATAACTTGTGAAGGTCAGTGGCAAAACCAGAATCAAATCCAGTTCTGTCTGACTCTAAAATCCATGCTCTTGGTCACTCTCCCCTCTTGGCCAGTCTGACCTCTTGCCTCCGATATGTACTGCCTCCCTCCTGCTCTCCATCATCCCTGTGATCATTTCCTTCCTGGCTAGTCCTTGTCCCTTCACACCCTGAACCCCCCAGGCTTCCATCCTAGCAGCCAGAGCTAGCTTACCTCACTGTTGCTGTAGCGAGCGAGTTCGGAAATGAAGCGGATGTGGTCATCCCGGATCTGAACCATCTGCTCGCAGATGTTGTACTGGGGGCTGATGCTGCTCTGGGTACAGGTCCACCTGGGCAGAAAATCACAGTGTTGGAGCAGGTCCTGGCCTTACATACCTCAGCAGGATAGGCTCCTTCCACTCACTAGTTGCTCTTGGCAATCAGCCAAATGTGGCTGGCTCCCCTGGGTAGACCCAAGAGGTGTCACAGCCACCAGCTAGAGAGCCTGCCACAGGCCGACTGCAATAGTCTTTTTCCTCCTCTGAGACCCAATCACAGGCTTTTCTGGATACCTTATGTCCATGGTACTTACCAGTTCTATGAGCGAAGAGCCTCTCTAGGGCTACAAAGAGCTGAAAACCAAGTGAAGAAAAGGCAAGGTGGGTGACCTCCCCAAACCTGCCTACTGACTGTCAGCACTGGCGGCACCTGTGGTTGAAACTGGCTTTGGTAGGGCTGCTGGGGTGGGACCCGGGAAACTTACAGGGATCGTGCCTCTTTGTCAACAGTGATCTGGCAATGTGAGAGGACTCCATGGCAAGGGATGTGTTCTGAGAGGTACTGCTGGCAGACTTTTCCTCTCTGTCCCTCCCTCTCTCTTTTGCCACTCCCTTCTCATTCCCCTTGCCTCTCTCCTTTCTCCTCAACTCTTTCGAAAAAGATCATTGGGAAAACCATCCTGAAATGGAGAGTAAATCAAGGAATGAAAGTCTTCATTCTCCTTCCCCAAGAGAAAAAAGACTGCCCCCTTCACCCTCTTCTGTCATCTGGTGCTGGGTGACCGCAGAGACAGACTAAGCATTAGAACCAAACAAGGCGGATAAACATTTTGGGAAAAATTTCATATCTCAAAAGGATCTCCTTGAAGTGGCTCCCGTAAGAATGCTTAGATTGGTGATAAATTTCTTCATGCTTTTACTGTGGCATGACTCATATTTTGGGTTACTTGTACAGGGGGGACACAATCACTCAAACTCCTGACACCCCACCATGGCCACATCACCACTCCCAACCAACTTTAGGTGGTCAAGGATGTACGCAGGAAATGTGAGGAAAGGAGTTCAGCATTCTCAGTTCCATGCTTTCCCTAGAGAACCTCCTCACATGCCAGCAGTCAGCAGGTTATGAAAAGACTAAATCAGCTTCCTTGGTGAGGCTCCCTTACAGGGTCTCAAGGCTGGTGGGGTTCGAGGACACTCCATTCACATATTTTTAAGGCACTAACCCTCACTTTTGACTAAAGGACAGTCAGCCACTCTCTGTTTGGAAAGGTCATATTCATTCAGCTTTGGGGAAGATGCAGACAGAAGGAACTTTATTAACAAACCCAGATATCAAAGGAGTGGCCAAGGCTGCACCTAGATGTCACCCACCTGCCATGAGTCACTGGCACCCCAGATCCTAGCACAAGTTACCTAGAACGGTGGTTTATAAAACAATCTAAGGCGAGGCTATCGACCCACTTTGCAGGTAGAACCATCAGGCCATATACTCAATGACATACTTACTGCATAGACATAAATCTGAGGAAAGAAGCAAGGTGATGAAGGATGCCATCTTGCTCCACCCGACCATGGAGGGCCAGCCAGTCCTCCCCCTTCTTGAGGGAAGGTGGGCTTCTGCCATCCCATTGTGGGCAGCATGGGTCAGCGCCGGGACGGAGAAGGGGCAGGGCCGTGCTCTGAACACTTTTGAACCCTGGCAGCAAAGGGCAGATACAAAAGAGCTCAGAGCACCCTCTGCTGTTCCCTTCTGGCCGGCTGGGTGCCAGTGTTGTGATGGAATCCACCTGCCCAGGGCTCTGGGGAGGGAGGAGGGGCTGAAGTGGCCCCTCGGCCCCCTGCCCGGGCTGGGCATCCTCGCGGGAGCCGAGAGACATTATGGCAGGCACTCACTTGGACTTGTTCTCTTCATAGTGAGCACTGGTCTTAATGTATCTGGCCAGCTCTATCTGCATGTCGCCGAAAAGGGGCACCACCTGCAGCTGCTGCAAAGGAAGCAAACACAAGGTGTGAGATGCTGAGAGAGGAGTGGGGGGGAGGGATGGCTGCCTTCTGCTGGGGAAAGCAGGCCTCTGTGTACCTCTGGGCCAACCCCTAGGTTCTTCTTCTGATCATGCTACTTTGTCACCTTGGCACCAGAAAGAGTCCCAGACAGTTGTACAGGTCCTCTCTTGCCTCCAGCCAACCCATGTTCCAGCAACTGAGCACAAGAGGGGCAAAGTGATTTGTCTAAGGCAACACAGCAGGCAGAATGGATGAAGGATGAGAATCAGATGGCCTGCCTCCCAGGGCAGGGTCCTTTCTGCTTTAATTTCCCTGGGATTCTCGGATCCTTGCTGCCGTGAACTCTGGACTAGGAGTGGATACCTGGATGCTGCCGGCTGGGTGTGGCCTTCCTGAGAACTTTACAACGTAAAGCAATTGAAACCCTAACACTAAACGCTAAAGGGCAGACAGGTCCTAACTGAACACCAGAATAAATGGAGAGGAGGCTGGTATGTACTGCTGGCTTCTATGCACAAGTACCATATCAAACTCTTCAAAACCAGATTTTTAGGACGGTGGTGGATCCATGTCATTCTGCATTTGTTAAGCCACACAGAATGTAGAACGCCAAGAGGGATTCCTCGTGGAATCTATGGACTTTGGGTGATAATGATGTGTCAGTGTAGGTTTGATGATTGTAAAGAGTGTATCACTTTGGTGAGGGATTCTGATAGTGGGGGAGCCTCTGCATGGTGGAGGGCAGGGGAGTAAATGGGAAAACTGTGCACTTTCTGCTCGATTTTGCTGTGAACTGAACTGCTCTAAAAAATAGTCTATTAAACAAAAAAAAAAAACAAAAACAGTCTCTCAATCCATACAAATACTTTGTGAGGTCAATACTATTATCATCATTTCACAGATGAAAAGATTGAAGTTTAGATAGCTCAAGTAATTTTCACACAAAACCAAACCCGATAGAAGTCAAGGAGCCAGGATGATAATCCAGGGCTCTGCCTCCCACTGAATCATCAAGGAAACTCTATAAAGTAAATACTCTTTGCATTCACATTTTTTGGGCTGAGGAACTCCATTTCAGAAAGGTTTGGTGACTTTCCAGAGTCAACCAGCTGTTGAGTGGCAGAGCCAGACTAAAACCCAGGCCCGACCATGGCAAAGCTGTATTACTCAACTGCACCCCAATCTCATTCCTACTGACTGGGGGCAGAGACGGGTTTTACAAGGTCTCTCCTGGGATGAGCCCTGTTTCCATTTGGGGCAGCTCCAGGGAAAAGTGAAAGTTCCTGCCTTAAAAAGAAGCAAAGCCACAGGATGCCTTTGGTGATTTATTTCCCTCTTCACCTGGAAGAGTCAGTGGGATCCAGGCCCAGCCTAGTGTCCCCCATGCCACATGGGGGACTTTTAATGTTAAGCCTGGGTTTTCCATGTCTGACCTCTGAGGCTCTACTCCAATCCTGGAGTGCCTGATGCTAGTTAAACTGACATCATGGAATTCAATTCCAAAGCAGGAAATCTCTTCATGAAAACCTCAAAGGCTTAATTTAACCCCAGGTTTTCTTTTTAAAAACCTGGGGCCAGAAGATCAAACCTCGGAGGCACTGCAAAGGTCTGAGTGTATAACAGACCATGATGAGGCACTGCACCCAGAGGCAGGGGGCAAGTAGAGGGAGTCCTCAGTGGACCAGGAGAGGCTGTGACTTTACAAATGAGAATCAATTTAAAATCCAGTCTTCAATCCTCCTGCTTCCATGAGCTCTTATTCATATGGAAAATTAAAGCAGGCACTGTCTTCTGGGATGCACCTCTTTCTTTAGATAGCAAGGAATTCAGGAAAGACAGAAAGTAATATGCAGAAAGAATCTTAAGGCCTCCCAGCAGAATCCTGAGACTTGGGAGCATGTCTGACTTCAATGAGGCAGCCTTCTACGGAGGGCAGTTGGAGGTCCTATCATTCTACCCGCCTCCTCCTCTTGGGGACTTTAGAGCTGCAGCTCCATCAACAAGCCCTGCTTCCTGCAGATTTCTTCCCTTTCCTCAGAGAGACTGCCCTGCCGCCTGGCTCCACCCTCAGGTACTGACCTTAAAAAATTTATCAATTTTGCTGAGGTTGATTCTCTTCTTGGCATCCAGTTTGTAAATGTTACTGACGTTTCCATCCATCAGGTAGAGACCAAAACCCATTACCTAGAGCAAGAAAGTGCAGAGCACATCATGACCATTGGAAAAGTTTAAAAAACAAAACAAAAAAAGGAGGTCTGTGCATGTGCACACACACCTGTATGTCTTGTAGTGACACCTTCTCTCTCAAAACCCAGGTCTTCAATTAAAGAAAGGAGACATAAATCTGATTTCAACTAAAAACTTGATTTCTGTGAAGAAATTCAGACCACCCTGTAGTGTGTTGTAATGGTGGTCGCTTGTTGAGTCCTTACTATGCGTAGGGCTTTACCAGATATTCTCCTCAATTCTCACAACAATCTTATGAGTCAAGTCACACAGCTAACAGGTTGCAGAGACAGGGTCTGAAGCCAGATCGGACAAGAACATCCACACATTTAGATGCTTCCTGCGAGGAAGGGCTGAGCGCTGCTTGTTGCTGCATCCCTGGGGTCTAGCACATTACAGGCACTTGGGAATACCTGCTCAGTGTCGAATGAATGTGAAACTGTTGACTTCTTTCCCCAAGGAAGCTAAAACAATGCAGAGATTCCCAAGGAGCCACTGGTGACTTCATTCGGGAACATGTTTTTGCCTGACAACGCCATGTAAGTAGGTCAGGCTGACTCTGGATGTGCCAGTCCATTTAATAGCTTCTCGAATGCTGACATGTTTTGCTCCTTCTGTCAAATGCACGGCAAGGCTGAAGGGGGCCTGAACAGCTAGGCTGAAAGCAGCTTCCCTTGCTGAGAGCAGCTGTGACTGTGGGGAAGTCACATCTGACACATAAGGGACTGGATTAGAAGACTATTGAGGTCGCATCCCTCTTAGCCCCATTCTGTCTCCTGCTCTGCAGGGTGGGCACCAGACTCTTCCACGTTAGGTGAGAGGTGCCCCTGGTGGCAATCTGAGCTCACTAACATGAGCTGGAAAACCAGGGAACAATCAATATTGAGACCCAGAGCCTGGAGGAAAGTGGTGGAGAGCTGAGGGCAAGAAGATGAAGAAGTAGAGGAGTAGAGGGATTAAAAGCTAGTGAGAGAAAACCAGGGCCAGAGAATCTGCTGGCAGCATCTCAGAGAGCTTGGTGGGCTGGAATTTAGTGACCTGGTGTGTGGCAGCAGCTGTTCTGGGCAGAGCTTTGGGACCTGCCCAGGCACAGCAAGGGGGTGAGAGAGACCACTAGGCTCTTGGGGACCCATCTGGATTTCTGATGGTACAGAGGAAGCCGGAGGGAACAAATCACTGAGACACCCCTTCCTACAGATATTGTCGAGGTGCTGTGGGAACAGAAGGGAACCCCAACAGGTCTGGGACTCAGAATAGCATGCCAGAATGGCAAGGCAGAGAGGAGGAAAAATAAAACTACCAGGAGAACTCTGGAAGAAGGGGAGGCTCTGGGGAAGAAAGACTGAAAAGGGGCTATGCAGGGTGTCAGCAGAACATGCAGAAGGCTGCTCTTCTCAGTGCTACTGCTGTCCAGAGAAATCAGAACCCAAGCAGCCAAAGGCCGAGTAATGGAGAAAGAAATACAAGCACATTTGTATCACATTATTGAGTGGTTGCATAATATTCCCACTCCACTTAATGAAATGGAATACAAATTACACACACATCATTTATGCATATAGCATATGCTAAAGAAGTATAAGCACAGAAAAACTGAAATATATCAAGATGCTAAAAGTGTTACCTCTGGAGGAAAATATGGGGAGACATTAAAATTTTCTGTGCTTTTCTATATATTCCAGATTTTCTACAATAAATATTACTTGATAATTTAAAAATGAAATTTGCAAACCGCTGGAACAAATGTGCCTACTTTGTTGACAGCAAAAGCTTGAAGATTTTGCTTTCCCTTTGAGTCAGTAATTTTCTCCTCTATGACATTTGACTTGGCAGGAGTATGTACACTAAAGTTGCGCTCTAAGAGTGTTCAATGCAATTTAGCAAACAAATATCCAATGACAGGGGATTTGTTTAGTAACAGTATCCATGCACAATGGGACACTCAGCAGCCATTAAAAATTACATTGTAGGGATCCCTGGGTGGCGCAGCGGTTTGGCGCCTGCCTTTGGCCCAGGGCGCGATCCTGGAGACCCGGGATCGAATCCCATGTCGGGCTCCTGGTGCATGGAGCCTACTTCTCCCTCTGCCTATGTCTCTGCCTCTCTCTCTCTCTGTGTGACTATCATAAATAAAAAAAAAATTAAAAAAAATTACATTGTAGAAATATCCTTAACAGCATCTGGAAAGGTGTATATGACATACGGAAGGAAAGAAAAAAAGGACAAAAAATTATGTCCAGTAAGATCTGTATCAGTGTTTAAGAAAAAATGAACATTAAAAAAAGATTTTAAATAAGAAGGAGGTGAAGGGGCTAGCCCAGGACCTGGGGTGTGTGACTACAGTTATACCTTGAGGAGCATGTGCTTCTCGCTGGGGGTCAGATACATCTTGTTCTCGTAGTAATCCACGCAGATGTTGACAATGTCTGCCAGCAGCTCCTCGTAGCCTGGGATCACTTCCAGTTGCTGATGGAGACACTAAACAGCAACGCCCCCCACTCCTGGTTAGCCCCTCTCCCTCCTCCCCACCCACACCACCACAGTAGGCCCACAGCTGATTGGCAGTGACACTGCACAGCCCCCTGACCATCCCAGGTGGAGGGGACCTGCATCTTCTCCTTAAAGTCCCCACGGTGGTTGGTGAGAGCTTCTGCAATCTCCCACGGCAGGCAACCTGCCCCCACCCTGAGCTCTCCATTTTATTTCCTGGCAATTCTGACATTTAGCAAGGACTTTCTTGGGCTGAGCCGAAAAGCAGTTCAGCTTTACAGAAACAGGCCTGAGTAATCTAGGCTTAGCTTTGCGGGTATAGACTTAGCCATGATATCTCAGACGATGACAGAAATACCCAGCCCAGGGGAGGAGAGTGGGACCAGCAGGTGTGCCCCTCCTGGCAGGACACAGTGGTACAGAAGCATTTCCCATAAGAACAGAGTCTAAGAGCTCCATCTCAGGCCCTTTCTCTCAAAAGGGACAACCTGGGCCCCTGTGGAGGACACCGTGAAAGACACTGCTGGTGCTTTCCACAGACAACCTGGGGCTGAGACGTGAGGCTGAGTCTCGGAAAAGAAACATGGAGCCTCAACACTGGCAGCCTTGTGCAGTTAACCAAGAGCAGGAAGGGTCCAGTGAAGCCAGGAGCATCCCTGAGAGAGGTCTGAGCCTGAAATGTTTCCAAGATGCACGCCCCTCTCAGCTGGAGCCCAGCTCACATTCTTGCTGGTGCCTGTGTAGGCTGACCTGACAGGTGAGCAAGACGGGTTACATTAAGTCAGTCAGAGCAAAAGAGCCACAGCTGATGGGGGTGCCCAGCAAAGTGGTGGCAGTAACGATAGCTACGGCAGCTTATACTCTTACCACTCATCAGGCTCTGCTTACTAAGGGCTTTTGATATGATGTTTCATTTCTCACAACAGTCCTATGAGATGGACTCTTATTCTCAAAAATAACAGATCACACCACAGATGAGGAAACTGAGGCTTAGACCTTACTCAAGATCTCACAAGGGTCAGTGGAGGGTCCAGGATTAGAAAACAAGGCTGTCAGGGCACCCGAGTGGCTCAGTGGTTGAGTGTCTGCCTTCAGCTCAGGTTGTGATCTCGGGGTCCTGGGACTGAGTTCTGCATCAGGCTCCCCACATGGAACCTGCTTCTCCCTCTGCCTCTCTATGTCTCTCATGAATAAATAAAAATTTTTAAAAAGGAAATAAAATGAACAAGTCTGTCAAACTCCAGAACCCAGGCCCTCAATCCTCACTGCTGTGGGGGTAGCACATGGGCTGAGAAGGCTTTCAGGGAACCAAATCCGCAGGGGGTGAAAGGGTCATCTGTGGTTGGGGAGCGGACTTAGTCTGTTAATCCATAAGCGCAGGGAAGTGAGGATGTTAGATCTGGACTAAGCTCCCCTGCTTGTGGTCCCTCAATCTTCAGGCCCCTGCCTGTGTCCTGGGACACCAGACCGAGATGAACAGGGACTCTGCCATCACCTGGGTGATCCTGTTGTGGTTGGCCAGGAACATGGAAAGGTTCTGTGACTCCTGGATAGACTGGGGGTCCGCCATCTTCCTCAGGAACTGCGCCGCCCTACACGGTGTTGCAGAGAGGAATGCTCAGGCATAACCCGCCTAAGCCAGGCCTCTCTGACTCCCGCTCCCACCTAACCCAGAGTCGTCCCCCCCACCCCCCCGCCCCGAGGTTAAGGAGCTCACAATATCACAGATAACTCTATTATCAAAGGAGAGTGTATTCTGGAGTCATTTCCTTTGGGACCATATACACCTCGTACATTTAAGGATACCTAAATTTAAGAGGCAAGAATACACTGAAGGCCCAAACCGGCAAGTTTAAGGGCAACGAGCATCCTATCAACCAGCCAGAGGTGGCAAGACAGAGCGAAATGGGCATCCCTGCGCCATGCTGTGAAACCTGCCGTGAAACCACACAGCGGTCATGGAGAAGAATCCCAGGCAGGATGTGTTGGTTTTGCATGGATTATGTTATTTACAGAAAACCTCCAAGTTTCTAAAGCAAAGCACTGCATGGAAACAAAAGTCTATTTCACCCAATAGGGTTATAGGTGAAGGGTGATGGGTGTGGGGAGCACTCACAGGGCTCGATGGGGGAACACCACGCCATCCTGGTCTGTCCCAGCCTAACCTGGTAGTGGTGCAGCCCATATCACGACTGACCATGAGAGCACAGACAAGACACCCGCCTTGCTCACAGCCCTAGCTGCTCTGCATGGTGTGTCACTTATGACCACGATGCAAGGAGTGGCCAAAACTGGGGAGAAACACAGGGAGCAGCGGGGGGAGATGTAGGAGATATTATAACATGAGTTGTCTACGAAATCTTTGTGAAAGCTGCCATTTCTGCACCAGGCTGAGGAGGGGGCTCTGTCTATGGACACCCCCAGGTTACACAGTTCACTTAGGATACAATTGTGGGAATAGGTCTGTTGCCTGCTTTTTCCCGTTACCTTGGAGCCCAAGAGGATGTGATTCAAGGAAGAGGGGGCCTCTTCATCAGTTACACAGAAAATCCCTCCCAAGATACATCTGCAGACACTGAGAGCTCATCTGAACCTCAGCAACATATAGGAAAGATACCTGTTGCTTTCAAATGTCCCCTGCCACCTTCTAGGTGGTGGTATCCTAATTTCTGGAGCACGACAATCCCTCACACGTTCTCAGTCCTTCTTTCTCGTAAGCTGACGCGGACCTCCAACTGACTCTGAGGGGAAAGCACCTGTCCAACGGGAGCCTCCACTCCCCGCAGTTACCTGATGGAGGGGTCCACACAGGACCCAAACCAGAGCAATGACAATCTGTGGGACTTTTGCAAAAGTTATTTCAAAGAAGCACCCTTTCTTTCCTTTGAAACTGGGGGTGCTGTGCTGGTCAGAGGGTAGCTTCTAGCTGCCGAGGCCACCACAGGGCACAGGCCTGCCTGAGAAGGAAGCTGCTATCAAGGGAGGTTGAGCCCAGAGGTAGGGGGAACCAGACCAACAGCATCTGAGTACCTGGACCCAGAAACAAGGAAACGTTTCAGTTTTGGGAGCCAATTGAGTTCCTTTTTAATATAAACAGTTTGAACTGGCTTTCTGAATATTGCAGGAAATGACTGATGTGACTGACCATTTTATGATTATCTTCCAGGTCCTATACTGCATGGGAAACTACTACTGCTCCACAGGTTAGGGAAAATGAGGATCTGACCCCACCTTGAGACAGAACATCTAAGAGACCCAGTTCTCCAAAGACTCAGCTCTGTGTCTTATTTCTCAAACTGCAAAAGCCGATAACAGGCCCAACCCTGCTCGTGCTGGGGAATAGCCAGCTTGGTTCTGGAGGAGGAGCGTGGCAGGACTGTATCCTCTGCCTCCCCCAGGCTGGCTCTGCAGGAAGAGGGGGGCAGGGTGAGGGCGCCCTGACCTCTTGTAGGCAGAGTGGTCATTCTTGACGCTGCACTTCATATTCTTCAGCTCATCCAAGACGGCAAACATGTTGATGAACTTGCCCAGCGTCAGAAGGTAGGCCTCGGAGACAAAGTCCTTCCTCCGCTCGGCATGGCACAGCCGCTTCACCTCACTGCAGAACCGCTCGATGGCCTTGCGCTGCAGGCAGAGGGGGCAGCAAGTAAGGCCAGGCAGCCCAGGAAGGGGGCTCACTGTGCTCTCTGTGGAGAGCAGGGTAAAGTCTCCCTCCTCTGAGGCTCTAGTCAGAGTTTAGAGAAAGTCAAATCTGTCAGGTCATTCTCAGAGGAGTCCCTAAACCCAGGGCTCATTTCCAGAGGGTAGCCTGGAACCTGCAACCTAGTGAGTCATATCAATGAATTCATTCACCATGCCTTCACTCAAAAACCTTGTCTTATTCATTTTTGTGTCCCAGCACCTAGGACAGTGTCAGGTGCCAGACAAGAATAGGGTAGGGACCACGAGTGAGAGAGACATTCAGAGAGAGAGGGTAATGTATCCAATAAATAGTATTTACTGAGCATCTACTATGTGCCAAAAATCATTCAAGGTACTAGAGTAGAGAACAAAACATAAAAGAAAAATTTCTACTCTAAGGGGCTTGTATATGAGGGAAGGCAGAAAACAAAACAAATGCTCTGTATTAGAATGTGATATGTACGATGGAGGAAAATAAAGCAGGAAAAATAAAGCAGAATAATAAAGGGGAATAAGGAGGGCAGGGGGAGCCATACACTTTAGTAGGAAGATCAGAGAAAAAAATCATTCAGAGGTGATTTCTAGGAAAAGAGTTTGAAAGAAGAGAAGGAGAATGACAGGGATAACTGATAGAAGTGCATTCTGGATGGCATGAGTGGCCAGTGCAAAGGCCCTGGGGCAGGAGTGTGCCTGGCATGTCTGAAGGATGAGTAATAAACTAGTGGTTGAAGTGGAGTAAGCAAAAGGAAGAAACTGGAGGCAGAGAGGGACCCTTGAGGCCTTTGAGAGGGCTCAGGTTTCTACACTGAGTGAGTCAAGAATAATATGATCTGAATTGTATTTTAAAAGGGTCACATGGGGGATCCCTGGGTGGCTCGGTGGGTTAGCGCCTGCCTTTGGCCTGGGGCATGATCCTGGAGTCCCAGGATTGAGTTCCACGTCGGGCTCCCGGCATGGAGCCTGCTTCTCCCTCCTCCTGTGTCTCTGCCTCTCTCTCTCTTTCTCTATCATGAATAAGTAAATAAAAAAAAAAACCTTTTAAAAAATAATAAAAAATAAAAGGGTCACATAGGACGCCTGGGTGGCTCAGCAGTTGAGCATCTGCCTTTGGCCCAGGGTATGATCCTGGAGTCCCAGGATTGAGTCCCACATCAGGCTTCCTGCATGGAGCCTGCTTCTCCCTCTGCCTATTCTCTGTCTCTCTCTCTATCATGAATAAATAAAATCTAAAGAAAAAAAAAAAAGGTCACAGTAGCAGGCAAAGGTAAAAGGAGGAGAATAGTTAAGAGAAATGAAAATATGTCTACCCCAAAATGTATACATGAATATTCACAGGACCTTGTTCATAATAGCCTCAAAGTGGATATAATCTAAATGTCCATTAACACAAATATGTAAATAAAATATGGTAGATCCATATAGAAGATTAGTATTTGGTCATACATTTTGAACCTGCTACAATATGGATGGATCTTGAAAACAATATACTAAGTGAAAGAAGTCTGTCACCAAAGGTCACATATTATGTGATTCCATTTATATGCAGTGTCCAGAAGAGGCAAATCCATAAGACAGATTAGTGGTTACCTAGAGCTGGAGGGGGGCAGATGGAAGGTATGATGGAGTGATAGCTAAAGGGAATGGGATTTCTTTTTGGGGTGAGAATGTTCTACAACTGAGTGTGGTGGTGGATGTACAACTCTGTGAATATACTAATAAAAACTGTTCAATTGTACAATTTAAATGGACAAACTGTATGGTATATGAATCATACCTAAAAAAAACTGTTGACAAAAAGAGCAGCTGACAAATAACAAAAAAGGGCTAAAGGAGCAATTCTGAAAGAGACACAGAGAGAGGAGGAGGTGGAGGAAGAGGAAGAGGAGGATAACCGGGAGAAAGGAGAGAAATCACTCCTTGTATGTGAACTTTACTCCATGGACATGGGATACCCTGCCCAGCCAGTCATTCCTTCCTTCAAAGCCTAGACCAAGCCAGACTTTCTCCATCCAGAGTCTAAGTCCAGTAAAACTTCTTGCAATGATGGAGATGCTCCACATCTGCACTGTCCAATATGGTAGCCACTCATCACATGTGGCTACTGAGCATTTGAAATGGCCAGTGCCCTGGGGGACCTGAATTTTAAATTTTATTTAGTTTTAATGTATAGTCCCATATGGCTACTGGCCACTGTGCTGAACAGCATAGTTCTAGATTTCATCAGATCCTCCTCTCAATATTTCGTTGGAAGGCCCTTTGTTTCGCACTCAATCAGCTCTGGATAGTTCTCTCTTGGGCCTGACTTCCTAAAGAGAGTAGGCTCCTAAGGGCAGGTCCATGATGCTAGTCACAGCAGCTGCCATTTATCAAACCTACTCTGTAACCAGGACTCTACTTGGCTCTTTACAAATAGACCTCATTTGTCCTCACCACAAACCAGAGATTAGGCATGATTTCCAAGGTGAGAGAACTTTTGTCAACACAAAGGTGTGAGACGTCACATAACTCCCCGGCACACAGAGACAGTGGGGCAAACTCTTGAGTTACCCCGCCTCAGATACCAGGCCATCTGCCCAGGGCTGTATGCATTTGCACCTTCCCCAGACATGCCCCATCTCCCACCCCCCGGGGGCCCGGGTAGAGCTGGGTGTGGGTGGACATCTGGCCAGGGCTTGCAAGTGAAGCTCAGCTTTTCAGTGGACTGTGTAGAGGGCATAGAGCGAGTGCCATGACTCCCGCCCCAGGGTACAGACTGTTCTTGAAGTGTTCAACCTGCATTCCTGAACAGCATCCGACCTAACTATAATAATCAACCAATTTGCATTATTTTCTCTTTGCCATTCCTGCTTAACCAGCCTGCCCTCTGGCCTTCCATTGATGGAGGCCCCTCAGCTCTCTTTTCTCTTCTCCTCCTGACATGATTCCTTTTCCTGGCTTCCCAGCTGGCTTCCATGCTGTCTCTTCTCCCCTCCCACCTTCCACATCTGTAACTGCCTCCCACCTCCCATCTGTTTCCCACACAGCAGCCAGAATGTTGCTGTAAAACCTCAAACCAGAACCCGTCACAAGAAACCGCCAGTGGCTTCTATGGTGTTCGAGTAAAATCCATATATTCTCTTCATGTCCTGCCTCCTGGCCTACAGTGCCCTAGAAGGTCAGGTCCTGTCTACCTCTCTCATGTCACTTTCAGTCCACCATCCCTTCTCACTGCAGCATCCCTGGCTTCTTCTATTTCTTAAACACATCCTGCTTCTTCAGGCCTCAGGACCTTTGCTTTTGCAGTTCCTTTTGCTTGAAATCCTCTTCATCTGATCGTCACATGCCAGATGATTGTTACATACAGATTTCAGTGCAAATACCACTCCTGACAGGCCATCCCTAAAGCTGCACCATGTCACAGACACCCTCTACCCCAGAGTTTTGATTTTTAAATTTTATTTACTCACAGCACTTACTATACCCTGATTGTGGGTGGACTGTGTATTATTTACTGTCAGTCTCTCCTACCTGAAACACACTTGTGTACTCACTAGGATGTAAATCACATGGAGAGAGGGAGGCTTGTCTGTTTTGCTCACTAAGGGGTATATCACGGGGGCACACAAAAAGCTCTTGCTCATTGGATAAATAACCTGGGTCAAAAATCCAGACCCCAGCAATCAGTGAGGTGTGGCCTCTCAAGTCTCCTGCTCCAGATCCACCCTAACCCCTCACCTGAAAGTACATGAACTTCATGAGCTTGGTGACCTCTGGCTCTAGCACTTCCACTGTCTTCTCATAGATCTCCACCCGGTTGGGCTGCTCATTGCATTTCACCTGTGTGGGGAGAGGGGAGATCACACATCTTCCTTTGTCAACGCAATTCTGGTTCACATCTATCATCTTATTAACGGGGCCCATTTGCATTCTTGAAGGCACTTCGTTTAGGATGGTAAATGTGGTGGTCACCCTAGTAAGTGGGGGCTGGGGTAGCCCTGCCTGACGGGTCTGACCAGAGCAAAACTGCTCCCTAGACATTGGCTGCAGGAAAGAAACCAGTTAGTTCTGAGATCAGAACCCTCCTCCTCTTCAATCTGTTCAGTACCCTGACCATGAGCTGTATACACATCTACCTTGATCTGCAAGGTCTCCCTCCTTCAGCCTTTTCAATGAAACTCCCAAGTGGGGCCCCACCCAGCATCTGAGCAGAGAAAAATGTTCTAGCCATTTCTCTGCATGCACATGGGGCAAGGCCCCTGGCCATACTTGGCCCCATCAAGAAACCCATTTTCTCTGCCCAGTAGTTTTCAACACATCAGAATCACATAGCAGACATTTTCATAGCATGTGTACCCAAGACCTGATCAAGTGAAACTGAAGAGTGAGCAAAGGATAAGCACGGGGACATTCTTCACGCTGTTGCTTAGAAATTCTTAAAATGGTAGCAATAAGGTAAATACCCACCAGTCAATGATTAAATGGATAAAATATGATGTACTCATACAATATCATCCTAAGGCTGCTAGAAGTAATGAGACAGATGGATGTGAAGTGACATGGAGACATTGCTACCATAAACTGACAGGTGAAAAAAACTTGCAGGACATGAAGTGTAACTGAGTCCCATTCTTGTTAAACGAAACACAAAACAAAACAGTGTTTGTTTGTATGTCCATAAATAATACAGGCATAGAAAATCTGAAAGACTTCAAAGCAAACTGCTAATAAGTAGTCATCTCTGGGGGCTAAGATTAGGGGAAGAGAGGGATATAGTTTCTATTTACTTTGTACACCTGTGGTTTGTTCATTTTGTTATAATGGGACCCTGGAATTACATGATGATAATTATTGTAAATATAATATCTGCATGAGTCAACACAACAAAGTTACTAATAAGGAATCAAGTGGAAAAAAGCAATCGGCATAAATATAAATAAGCATACTTTTGTAAATGATAATTTACAAATAATATTTGTAGGAACATTCAGGATATTCAAGGAAAAAGATCTAGAGGAATATGCATCAAAGTATCCATAGTGATTATGCTTTGGTTGGAGGTGGGTCTGAGTGGTGGGGGTGAGGAGGTGGGAACATCTTGCCTTTCACCTTTTCTTTCTGCAGCGGTTTGGGTGTCATACAGGTAGTACATTTCGCTTTTGAAATAAAGCAAACATATTTTTTTAAGTTGTCATCAGTTTTATGGGAAGCTCACTAAATGTCTTGAAAAGCACCCTTGAATAACAGGCTCTGCTTCACTCACTCCCAGCCACCTGGAAAAGCTCAGCTCCCTGGATGAAGGTAAAGTGGAGGGTGGCACCCAGCAAGGACAGTCTCACCTGGGGGATGGCCCGGGAGCAGCTGCGCCAGGTGTACAGCATGACTGCATACTCGTGCCCTTCCTCCAGCATTTCATTCTGAAAAGCAAAACACATTCAGCAGGGAGAAATTACACTGGAGCCAGAAGGCTTCTTCACGGCCCGCCCCCAGATCAGATCCTCGTCACTCACAGTGGCCTGTGGACCAGCGGCATCAGAGGGACCTGGGAAGCTTACTAGAATCTCAGGCCCCTCCCTAGGCCTGGGGAATCAGATTCTGCATTTCAATAAAACTCCCAGGTGACTCAGATTCCCAGGTACACAATTAAGTTTGAGAAACCCAGGCTTAAATTAGGGTCCTCAGACACCCAAGGGCTCTACCAGCAGGCAACATTTTTCAAAGATTGGGCAGACAACTTAGAAAAAGGCTGATCTATTTGTTCCCATAGGAAGTTATCTCAGATATAGTGTGAGCAAGAAAATAAGCAATGAGAGAAATGGTACATACATCAGATAAGTTAAAAAACCAAACACAGAGTAATAATTATGAAAGTATATTGTCGTGTAATGAAAAATATCTTGGCACCATATGCACCAGGCTATGAAGAACAAGCTCTCTGTGGGGCTGGATAAACACGGGCTTTTACTTTTCGTATCACAGAATACTAGGTTTGCCCTTTTATCAGAGCCCATGCTACAATTTCAGGAGCAAGAAAATGACTAAGATCAATTTTTAAAAATACAGCAGATGGCAAAACCAATAACAGCATGGAAAACGAATCTGAAAAATACAGTGATGACTCACCTCACCCTGCAAGTGCTAAGAGCCCTAAACTCGGGATCTAAATATCTGGGCTCAAATCCCAATGTCATCCCTTCTTAGGTCCTTTATCTTCAAGAAATCACTTAACCTAAAATTCTCCATTTAGTATCTGTGTAATGATGATGATGGTGACAACCTCCAAGAAGTTTATGAAAATTAAATCACACACACACAGCAAACATACATCACACATCACACACCTTCTAGGTGATCTGTAAAGGGAAAAGTATTATTAGGAAAAAGACAGTCTGGCAGAAACGTGCACACTTGATCACAGTGGTACTGTCCTAACACCAAGAAGTGGAAACTACCCAAATGGCCATTAACTGATGGGTAGATAAATACAATGCGGCCCAGCCGCCCGAAGAAACAGCACTCATCAATAAGCAGGAGTGAAGTGCTGATACGTGCCACAGCATGGATCAACTCTGAAAACATTCTGCTAGTCACAAAGGCCGCATGTTACATGATTCATTTAGATGAGATGGCTCAGAACAGACAGATCCATAGAAACACAGCAGATTAGTGTTTGCTAGGGGATAGGGAGAGACAGGAATTGGGAATGACTGGTAATGGGCTTGGGGTTTCGCTGTGGTGATGGCAATAAAAGGGTAGGGATTTTGTATGACACTGTAAATACATAAGAGAAACACTGAATTATACCCTCTAAGTGGTGAATTTGATGCTATGTGAAGTTTCCAAAAAAGCAATAAAAAAGAGTATCATTAGACCATGTGTCTTGTAAATGTATGTACTGATATAAAAATGAACCTTTACTAATTTTTTTATAAGATTTTATTCATTTATTCATGAGAGACATAGAGAGAGAGAGAGAGAGAGAGAGAGAGAGGCACAGAGACACAGGCAGAGGGAGAAGCAGGCTCCATGCAGGGAGCCCAACATGGGATTCAATCCCAGGACTCTAGGATCATGCCCTGGGCTAAAGGCAGTTGCTAAACCACTGAGCCACCCAGGGATCCCCTAATTTTTTAATTCCACATATCACATCTACTTCATAGTATCTCCCTAGTGCAAGATCAGATTTAATTTGGAATCTATTACTTCTTACAGTTTTGCTTTCAACAGCAAATGTCCATAATGAGTCGTACTTTCAATTCTTAATTTGGAGCACTTTTAAAATCAGTAACAGATTGTCCTTGAGACCAGAGAGAACCAAGAACCTAGCCTATGGGTCTCCTGCTGCTCCTGCTTCAGAAAAGATGTCAAAAGAGAGAAGTGACAGTAACAGAGGGAATGTGTGTCCACTTGTTAGCACCAAACAGCCCACCAGCAGGGTGAGATTTGGACTTTCACTCAATGAATGGTTTACTGAGTGCTCACAGGTCCCACACTGCAGACTGTGTGCTGTGAGCAAGTGCAGCGAACAAGTATAGTGTAGATGCTGCCCAATGGATCGTTCAGGTGACCATCAACTTGCTATATGCCTGGAGTGCAGAAGTCAGGACAGTGTGGCAGGAAGAGCCCTAAGTGCAGCCTCAGGAGATTGAAGTTCTGGTCGTGGCTCTGCTTAGGCTCATCTTTTACCTTAAAAATGTCACCATTTTCTCATTTAGAGTTGGCCTGAATCACTGGATCACCCCTGATGCCCAGGCCATGCCCCACGAGAACCAAATCCTTATTTCCAGGTAGGGGCCCAGGCCCTGGTGTTTTTTAATGCTCTCAAAGCAAGTGCAGTGTACAGCTCAAGAAAGGGCATGTGGACAAAGAGAGAGACACTATATATGTGTGTGCACACAGAAACCCAAACCCAGGAAGTCTCTGAGAATCTTTGTCTCTGTGTCTTTGCTTCTGCTCATTCCACCATCTAGTGTGCCCTCCCCACTTCATCTCTGACACATAAAATTCTAACTACATGAGACAGCAGAATTGAGTGCAAAGAGATCAGGACTGGTAACCAAAAGCCTTGATTCCAAGTTCAACCCTATAATTTGTTAGTTTGTGGGATCATGAGTAACTTGCTTGTTCACTTCTCCATGTCTCAGTTTTCTCATCTCTAAAATGGACATAATGATCCCTTTGTGAGTCACAGGGCTATTATAAGGCTCCAATGATATCTATGTGTGAGAATATCTTACACATTTTAAATTATCATACAAACGGTTAAAATGTGTATCTGTATATATATAGCATACAAGGCCCTACTCAATAGCCCCTTCTTTCATCAAACTTGCTCTGACCCTGAACTCTTCAAAAGCACAGAGCTTTGAACTTTTACCATGTCATTTACCTTTAACTTAATACATTTCTATTTGCCTACACAGAGTAATCTAGAGCACAGGTTTTATAGTCAGACAGACCTGCATTTGGCCAAGTCATTTGTCAGTGGCAGGGCTTGAGTAATTCACTAACTTTCTGAACTTTGTGTTTCCCTGTCTGTAAAATGGGAACCTATCTCACAGGGTTGAAATGAGAACTAATTCAAACAGTGCATTTAAAATATCTGACAGAGAATTTATGAATAGACATTTCTCCAAAGGCGATATCCATATGGCCAATAAACACAAGGAAAGACACTCAATATCACTCATATCAGGGAAATGCACATCATAATCACAATGAGATGCCACCTCACACCTATCAGAATGGCTAAAATCAAAAGCATAAGAAATAACAAGTGTTGGTGAGGAGGAGAAAAAGGAACCCTCTTGCACTGTTGCTAGGGATGCAAACTGGTACAGCTACTGTGGAAGACAATTTGGAAGTTCCCCCCAAAAATTAAAAATAGAACTATCATGTGATCCAATAATCACCCTGTTAGATATTTACCCAAAGAATAAAGAAACACTAATTTGAAAGGATATATGCACTTCTGTTTGTTGCAGCATTATCTACAATAGCCAAAATATGGACACAACCTACATGTCCATTGATAGATGAATAGATAAAGAAGATGTGGTATGTGTATGTGTGTGTATATATACACACACACAGCATGTTTTATATATGTGTATATATGTATGTAATACATATATTAAATATATATTATGTATATAATTATATATTATGTATATATGTATATAATAGATATGTATTTTATATGTGTATGTAATATATATATATTTACTATGGAATGGAATATTATGCAGCCACAAAAAGAATGAAATCTTGCCACTGCAGCAATACTGATGGACCTAGAGAGTATAATGTTAAGCAAAATAAGTCAGAGAAAGACAAACACCATATGATTTTACTCATATGTGGAATTTAAGAAATAAAACAAACACGGGGGGGGGGGAAAGACATACCAAAAAATAGACTCTTAACCACAGAGAACAAACTGATGGTTACCAGGGAGGAGGTGGGCTGGGGAATAGGTGGAATGGGTGAAACAGGTGATGGGGATAAAGAGGATACTTAGAATGAGCATTGAGTTATGTACAGAACTGTTGAATCACTATATTGTACACCTGAAACTAATATAACACTGTATGTTAACTACATTGGAAAAAAATTATATTTTTTTAAATAAATAAAATACCTGCACAGAAAGTGTTCAATAAATGGAAAGTTTGTTCACTTGCCTCATTGAGAATCAAGACTGGCCACTATTTGTCCTTGTGTATCTCCCTCTCCTACATTTAGCACAGTCTCTGCAGGTACCAGATATACAATATATATTGAATGAATGGGGCTAGGGATGATAAGGCAAGGCTTTAGCATATAACTGATACAGTGAGAAAGGTCCAATGAGCTACAGGCAAAGCCTCTGAATGAGGGTTCTGAAATTCTTCAAATTCCAGGGCTACATGAGAATAAAAACAATGGGGACGCCTGGGTGGCTCAGTGGTTAGGCGTCTGCCTTTGGCTCAGGTTGTGGTCCCAGAGTCCTGGGATCAAGTTCCGCATTGGGCTCCCTGCATGAGGCCTGTTTCTCCCTCTGCCTATGTCTCTGCCTCTCTCTCTCTGCCTCTCTCATGAATAAATAGATAAAATCTTTAAAAAAAGAGAGAGAGAGAGAGAGAGAGAGAATAAAATCGATCAAAGCCCAAGAGGCAAGTGGCAAATGGATGATTCCTCACAGATAGGTCAGATACAGACCTATTAGACCATCGCCCCCATTTGTGAATGATTTAGACCACGAACTTCCTTGGGTTAATAAGGTGTTATTCTATAGCCACCATCTCTTCTTTTTGAGAAACCTTTTGCTTTTGTCAAGAGACAAATTTCCACATAGCCAGTAATCTATAAAGTATAAGACAAGGCAGGATTAAACTGCACATTAACTTGAAAAGCTACAGAAGTTGACGGATATAAATAATGGGATCCAGTGGGGCCCCACAGGCGAGCCAGAAGGCAGGGGAACAGTGTGCCCCAGGCATTGAGAGGGGGTGGGGCAGGACCTGAGGACCAGCTTACGGAGACCAGTCTGAGGCAGGCAGCTCTGGGAATAGCTGAGCACAAGCCCCTCCCATGCTGGCAGGATCACGGCGACTTACCATGCTGGAATGGACCGTAGCCTGCTCAATGTACCTTGCAATGCCTGTGACAAATGCATTCCTGTCCTCGAAGTTTGTGTCAAAGTTAGCCTGGAGGAATTAGAGGACAGAAACATTCGTTTGTTGGAAAATGAGTCCAAGGTGGCTGGGTGTCCAAAAACGAGTCCAAACCACTGCCAACAAATGCCACACGTCTCTGTGGAAACCTATCTCCACATTGTTCCTCTGATCTTCCCCCAAGAAACCCCACTCTGACTCACACTGGGCAGGCGCTGGCTAGACGGGGCCCGCATCTGATTTCCCAGGTTCACCCAGCAGAGCCTTGGAAGTACACGCTTAAACTATAGAAACCTAAAGAGCTGTTAAAAATTCAGGTGTGCATTATTTTCATCCAGAAGTTGCAAAAATACTCACCTGAGGCTGCAGATACTTATGCATAAGGATGATAACTGCAGCATTTTTGGTGACAGCAAAAATTGGAAACCATCCAAATGTCCATTAACAGCAAAAGGCTAATAAATAAATAATAGCGTATCCATACAAGGGACTTATAAGTACTATGTGGTGGTCAAAAATAAGATGGTAGCACTGTAGTACTGCTATGGAAAAATACCCACAATAAACTTTAAGTTAAAAAAGCCAAATTATAGAGCAATATATATACTCTGCTTCCTTTTTGGTTAAACAACATATATCTATATCAATGTATAATATATATATCATATATATGGTAAAAAGGGGTATGTGTATGTATATGTAGTCATAGTTACAGGGAAATTTTACTTTGTTATACTTTTCTGTATTGCCTGTAATAAAAAAGATTTATGTAATCAAAAATTTAATGTGGGTTAGAAAATGTGAATAAGCCGTTTTGTCACCTGAACCTTCAGGAATATGCTTAAATAAAATCTAACTACTGAATGAAATTACAAATATATTATGCATTCATATTTAGTTTCAGTTAGCAGGCCCAGAACCTACAAAAGGTCAAATATGGCTAAAAATTTCATATTAACTTATTCTTTCCCAATGTGGCATGCTCACCTGGCATGCCCGGATGAGGGGCTATCTATAAAGTGGACTCCAGCTACACTGCTGCCCTTCCCATCATGCCCTGAGGGGTGGTTGGGCGGGGCGTCATGGTTTTGAGCGATCTGATCATGGTTTATCATAAGCTCAGGCACAAGCAAACAATGGTGACTGGCATCCCTGAGCCATTAGCTGCTATGGGGAGCTGAAAGCTCTTCTCACATACATGAAGGAAAAGTAATTACCCAGGCAGGCTCTAGGGGTTTCTAAATTGTAATATTTAATTCATGAGATCAGAGCTCCCAGATCCTTGGTTGGTGCCGCAGCAAGAACAGCAGGGAAGGTATTTGGGGTCAGAGAGGATCAACAAGCCTTCCCTGGGGAGGACAAATAGCCCTGGTTTATGTTTACGAGCTAATCTATTCCTCATACTCAGCTCCACCAGGGCACGAGGGACTCCATCAGCTCAAGACCTTTCACCTTTTAGAGGCAGGCATCCCCCTTCCCTGTGCCCTTCAGGGCAAACCCTCAGAAGGGATCTGGAACTCCCTGGTCCTCTGGAAGAACTGACCTGGTACATGATGGAGGAAGGTGGTGGCTCGATGCATGGCTGCTGGTCGGGGAGGGGCAGCTCTTCCAGCAGGTCCACGTTGGACAGGGCATCTTCCAGGGTGACGTGGGTGGTCATGGCTGCAGCTGCTGTCTTCTGCACTGAGGGAAAAGAATGTTAGGGGCCTCCAAATGTGTCTCAATATCTCCCAGAGAATGAAGGGGGCTTTACATGCATCGAGACCACCTCCATCTGCTGCGTCTTCACAAGGTCTCACAACCTGAACCTGATATTTGAGGATCTCTTTACAGTTTAGAAAGTTTTTTTTTTTTTTAATGTCTATTATCTGGACTAAACTTCACCACCACCTTCTGTGATCAACACGGCAGGTGGTTTACAGAACTGATAAATGAAAAGGCTCCGAGCAGTTATATGACACCCATACAACCACAGTGACTAAGGGCAAAGGGCCTCAAATATACCTGATGCTACACATGAGCCTCGGCCACCCCCAACTTCTGTTCTGCATGAGGATATGGATCAGTTCTACTCCTAAATTACCAAACAGCACAAATACACATGATAGAAATAGCCACGATTATTGACTTGATTCTACTCCAAACTCAGTAAGCTGGAACTACAAGAATTCAGACTGCAACAAATTTAACCTTATTTGCAAAAATGGAAGAGCCATGGTCTTCCTTGGTCTGGAGATGCTTTGAGGCACACCAAGTAAATCAGTCCTAAATGGACATTTCTGTGTCCTGGACCCTGACAGAGTGCAGTGGATTTGATGAGAGCTTCTCCTAGCAGTGAGGCTAAAGGGGATCTGAAGATGCACTTAACCCAATCCAAGCTAACTACTATTTTAAGAACTCAGTACCCAGCAAACAGAATACTCATTTTTTTAAAGCGTACATGAAACGTTGATAAAAAAAAGATCCTGATTTAGACCATAAAACAGGTTCTCACAAGTTCCCCCAAATATGACATCCTAGAAGTTACATTCACAGATGACCATGCAACACAATTCAAAATCAATAATACAAATCACAGCAAAAAAACCTCCTATACCTATGAAAGTTTGCAAAAACATACTTCAAGGCTACTCACAGCTAAAAAGGAATTCAAATAGAAATTATGAAACACTTAAAATTGAAAGATAGCTGAAATAAATGTCTTAAACATATTTAGCAGAAAGAAAGTGAAACTAAATGAACCTAATTTTGACTCAAAAATCTTAAAAAGGAATAAAAAATCAACCCAAAGAAATGAAAATGCAAGGACTGATCATTACAAAAGCAGAAATAAATGAAGCAAAGTACAAAGCAAAGCAAAACAGAGTAAACTAGGTGAATAAAAGTAAAAAAACTGAGTTTAATAAGATTAACAATAATAACGAGCTGCCCCTTTAGCATATTTGAATAAAGAAACAAAGAGAAAGCCCACTTCTTCTTTTTTTTTTTTAATTTTTATTTATTTATGATAGTCAGAGAGAGAGAGAGAGAGAGAGGCAGAGACACAGGCAGAGGGAGAAGCAGGCTCCATGCACCGGGAGCCCGATGTGGGACTCGATCCCGGGTCTCCAGGATCGCGCCCTGGGCCAAAGGCAGGTGCCAAACCGCTGCACCACCCAGGGATCCCAAGAAAGCCCACTTCTGATGGTCTGAGCACCTCTCCCCTCCCTTCCCCAAATCCCAGGGAAGCCTGAGATGGGCTTGCAGGCTAGAATTTTGAAGTGTCAGAGAATGTGTCTTGATTGCTTGTCAGGAAATGAGGCATCTAAACCAGGTTAGAATAGGACCATCAACATGACAGCTGGATCTAGGGGCTGCAGAGTGTACCCAAGGGCATGCTGTCTCTAAACTAGTGTCTCCTTCAGGCTCATGGCTGGGAGGGCAGCTCGGGGCTGAGCAGCTAACTATGCTTCACACTTCACGGAGTCTCCTAACACACTTCCCTGTCAGGTACTGTGGTGACAGCGAATGCCACGTCAAATGAGGGCATGAGGAGCTCACAAGTGATTTCCCCTCTGTCTTCTGCAGGCATTTGACCTCATGGTGGTGGTTTCAGGTCCTCTCCATGCCTGTGCTTCTTCGTATTCTCTCCCCTGAATTCTACGTGTGGCATCCAGTTCTACAGCAAAACCATTTACCAATCAACACACAAAAAAATTATCTTCTTTCTTACATTAATATTAAATTCATTTCGTAGGAAGAACTAATAATTTTATAGAGCATAATGATCTACAAGCTCCAAAGCCCTAACTCTTCATTAATTCAAATAATAATAATAATAATAATAATAATAATAATATTTCTTTAGTGCCTACACTGCTAAGCACTCCACTATTTCTGGATTAACCTTGCATCAACCCCATAAAGGTAGGTCCTATGATTATTCCCATTTTATAGAAGAGTCAACAGAAGCTCAAACTTAAGTAATTTCACAACCTCAAGTGCTGGTAAGTGTCAGGCTGGGGTTGGAACCAAGGTGTCTCCAGTTCCAGATTTTGTGCTCCCTTCCTCGTGCTCAGACTCATATTGCAAGACTGACTGTGTGTTACTGACAGGAGATCTGTCTCTACGCTAAATCTTTTCAAATGCTACACATCAGTGATTATTGGTCCTGCTTGTGCCAAAGAACTACAGGCACAATTTTTTTTTTTTTTAAGATTTAGTTATTTGTTTGAGAGGAGGGAGGGGCAGAGGGAGAGGGAGATAATCTTAAGGAGGCTCCCCACAGAGTACAGAGCCCTTCGTGGGGCTCAATTTTATGACCCCAAGATCATGATGTAGGCCAAAATCAAGAGCCGGATGCTTAATCCACTGAGACACCCAGGCATCTCCCACAGGCATAGCTTTTTAATAATAAAATGCCTGGGCTCCATCTCTAGGACCTTGGTAAGGATGTAAGATAGCATAAGGAAGGAAATCTGGTAATATCTAACAAACTTGTATATGCATTTTATTCTTTGACCCACAATCCCACTTCTAGGAAACTATCCCAAAGATAAATTGATAAAAATGCAAAAAGACATTTGCACAACGCTATTGACTGCAGCATCATCTGGAATAGGAGACAAAAGTCTGCAAAATGCAAACACCCCTTAACAGAAGATTGTGTGAATAAACTATGGTACAGCTGTACTGTGAAATACTAGGCAGCAGTAAAAAGGAATGAGGAATCTATCTATACACACAACCATGGGGTGATCTCCAGGATAAAGTCGTGTACATTTATTTAAGAAAGGAGTGATGCGCGCGCGCACACACACACACACACATATTAAAAAACAAACAATGAAAGGATAAATCACCTAGTTTTAAAAACTGGCCACCTATGGGGAAGATAGGCTTGAGGGTGTAGAGATAGAGGCAAGAATTCTTTGGATATGCTGTTTTGTAGATTTGACTTTGAAATCACATACTTTACATAATTATAAAATAAAATTTAAATTTAAAAAAGCAACCATCCCCCCAAAAAAGTAAGATAAAACAAATGAAGGTATATTTGTGTTAGCTGTTGGCATAACTACACAGAAAGAACCTATTCCAAGTGATTTTCACATTCAGAAATTTGATCCTACATTTCTGATGGGAGATACCCTAAGAACAATGAAGAGTTGCAAAAAAAAAAAAAAAAAAAAAAACTCATGCTTTTTTTTAGTAATTATATTGGTTAACTGTTGCAGTGCAAAGTAAAACAAATTAGTAATTGTGGAATACTCTATCATTCCTGGTGGTGTTGAGCACTGCCATTCTTGGTGAAAGGAGATATTAAACCAAGTAAACCAAATAGTCCTGAATAGGAAATTGGGTATTAGTAGGAAGTCATCATGTGTTCTGACTTTAAATATACCATATGTATGTTTGTATGTATGTATATATGTGCATTTACTTCCTAGCTCTGTGCACTGAAAAGCCCAGGACGCAATGACCAACCCATGAGCAATGAATGAGTACCTTTAGTGTCAAGCTGTGGTCTGAAAATAGCATTTCCCACTAAAAGGATCAGTATTTTGAAGAAACAGCTCGTCCAGGTCTGGGACAGAAAAAGTATAAGAAAGGCTTAGAGAGCAAGTTGTCACAGAAGAAAGCAAGGAAGCAGCTCTCTAACCACGACTCCTGGGGCGTGTCCAAGGGACCCAGGAGCCAACCTGAGGCAGCTTCCATTGGCCAACAAAGGGGACTGTGAGCACAGTTAGTATACCTCAATGAAGCAATATCAAATATGTTTAAATCCATGAAATAATAAAGACAATTAGACCTTGGTTTTGTTAACTTTTGTTTGTTTACTGCTGGAGGATGCCTGTGAACCAAACTTTATGTTGAAAATAGGTACAAAAAAGGAAAAAAGCAAACATTTAACATATCTTTCCTATACAAACTGACCGCTGGATAACCAAATTGCAGAAGAGGGGATGTTTCTCTCTACAGATAGAGGAGTTCTTTTTTTCCCCCAGAAATATTGGCAACTAAAATATCCCCATTTTTCTAACCCTTAAAATGGATATAGGCACTGATCATCAACCACTGCTGGCATCACTAAATGAATTACAATCAGATATTATGTGCCTCCTGACGGAAAAGCACACCATTTACCTTATGAAGAATGCTGGACCCAAAGCAAAACACTTAAACCCAATCAAGCCTTTGACACTCATTCATAGGAAATGGAGGGGACACAAGAACACATTAAAATACACCACAGTGATGTAATTAGTAAAACATAATCTATGGGAAACTCTGCGGGATAAATGACTCAGTGTCTTCAATAAATAAATTCCATGGGGGAAAAAGAGATGGAGGGGAAACTATAGCCAATAGGGGACTTGGCAGATGATCACAGTGCGTCACCTTGTTTGGATCCTCTTTCAAACAAAACCATAAGAAGCCAACCATAAGAAAACAATCATAAAAAAATCGTTTATGAGGAGATAGGAAAATTTCATAGTGACTGGGTGTTTGATAATATTGAGGAAACAGTGCTATTATTTTTCAGATGTGATAACAATAACAAGGTTATATTTTAAAAGAGTTCTTATCTTCTAGAAACACTTACTAAAATATGGGTAAAATGATAGAGGAGTTTGCTTTCAAATAATACTAGATGGGGAGAAAGTGAGTAACAGATGAATCAAAACTGGCTAGGAGTTAAT